ACAGAAAATGACGGTTCTTCAGTAGAGATTTCTGATGTCCTCTATAAAAAAACCACATAAAAATCTGGACCTGGCCTCCTTCAGGCCCTTCTTTGCTGACCTGGAGCTCCAGAGGTAAATCCTGGTGTGGTCCTGTCCTTGTTGTCCCCCGGCAGGTTCTTTACTCGGACAGTTTCCGCAAGCAGGTCCAAGGAAAAGCCGCCTACGTCCTGGACACGCCGGAGATGAGGAGAGTGAGGGAGAGCCAGAAACACATCTCCACAGTAAGGGAGCTCCAGAGGGGCCTCACCCTGGGGAGGGAGTCACATCCAAACATGGGCCTGGCTGGCAGCTCCAAGGCAGCTTTGCTGACCCACATCTTTCACACTAAAGCATTTTAAGGGATTGGGCTCTCCTGTGGCTCCTTGGATTGGGAAAGCCAAAGTTCAGGACACTCCCTGAAGTGCAGCTGAGGGATGCAGGAGTCCCAGCTGAGCTGCAGAGCACAGCCACTGCCTTTGAACCTGCAGGTGAAATACCACGAGGACTTCGAGAAGAGCAAAGGGAGTTTCACCCCCGTGGTCACCGACCCCATCACCGAGAGGGTGAAGAAGAACATGCAGGACTTCAGTGACATCAGCTACAGGGGCATCCAGAGGAGGGTGGTGGAGATGCAGCAGAAACGTGTGGACCAGGACCAGGAGAACCTCACAGGTGAGGCTTTACAAGGACCCCAGGACCTCCCAGGTAAGCAGGACCTAATTTCATAAGGACTTGACTTCATTTCCACAACACAAGCAGACCTGGGATGAGTGGTTTAATTTAAGCTCAGCCACATCAGTTCTAATTCATCATTACTTGGGGATGATGTTTTTACAGAAGTCCTTTTCTTTGAAACTCTCTTTGGAAAGTGCAGCAGCTTTAACTCACCTGTGCCCTGCCTGTCCCCAACTTTAGAGTGTAACACTGGACTTACAGTTCTTACTTATATTTTTAACTTCATCATGTTAAAGACCCTGATGTAGATGAAATGGAAAAAAAAAGCCTATTATGTGCTATAGAATTGAGAAATACAAATTGATGAAATAAATATGCTCTTCATAGAATTCCAGACTGGTTTGGGTTGGAAGGAGCTTAAAGCCCATCCAGTGGCACCCTCTGCCCTGGGCAGGGACACCTTCCACCAGCCCAGGTTGCTCCAAGCCCTGCCCAGCCTGGCCTGGGACACTTGCAGGGATCCAGGGCAGCCCCAGCTGCTGTTCCTGCTCTCCAGGCCAGCCTGTGGAGCTCCAGCCGTGCAGCATTCCCGCTGTTCCCGCAGGTCTCCGTGTCTGGCGCACCAACCCCGGCTCCGTCTTCGACTACGACCCTGCCGAGGACAACATCCAGTCCCGGAGCCTGCACATGATCTCAGGTGTGTGCCAGGGGCTCTTCTGCAGGGCCAAACAGGGGTTGGACTCCTGCAATCGTGGGGTCCTGGGGGCCTCACCGAGCTGGGAGGTCAGGGGTGACACAGGGGACAAACTGGGGCTGCTCCTCCCCAGCGTATTTTCTAACAATGCATTATGAATTTTTCTGTCATAAAATGACCCAACAGTTTATAGGACCCACCCCCCGTGGGATTCCTTTTGAAATAACTAAGAATGCTGCCCTCAGTTACATTGATTTTGTTTAACTCCTTTCCTGCTTAGTGAGAAGAAAAATACCTGGAGGGTAGAAACCAGTCTCAGGGAGGGCTGAACTGTGTCAGAGAAGGAAGGGAAAGGTGGGATAATTAGAATGTGGAAGGCTAAGAGGAAGGAGGTTGGAGGAAGGATAAAACTATTGTGACTGTTGAAGAGCAGAACTTGAGCATGGTGTCCACAGAACACTTAAAAATCACCACTCAGGACCCATCAAACACACTGGGATTATTTACACGGGCTCTTTTCCCTACAAACTTTGGGAACAGGAAGCTCCCAGCAGGGAGCTGTGAGCCCCCAGGTGTGGTGACCCTGTCCCTGCTGTCCCCCCAGTGCAGGCCCAGCGGCGCAGCCGGGAGCATTCCCGCTCCGCCAGCGCCCTGAGCATCAGCGGCGCCGGAGATGAGAAATCCGAGCCCTCCGAGGGCACCGACCAGCGCCTGTCCTACTACAGCAACGGGGGCTTCTTCACCACCACTGCCACAGGTACGGGGGCACCGGGCACGCCAAACTGCCCGCCCGGCCAGGCAGCAGCTCCTGCAGCCAGGGGGACGCAGGTGTGGATGTCACCAACGCGTCAGTCTGGTCCGGCCATCAGCGACCCGGCCTGGATCTTCAGCCACAGCAGCTCCAGCTCCACTAACACCACCCCCTCTGTTCCCTTTTAGTGGGCTACAAACAGGTGAAAACCATCGAGCTGCCACAGCAGCGCTCGTCCTCGGTGGCCACGCAGCAAACCACGGTGTCCTCGGTGCCCTCGCACCCCTCCACTGCCGGGGTGAGTAACTGGGATTAGGACACAGCCCCAGGGCGTGATTTGGGTGCCTCCCCACAGTGCACAGCCCTGCAGGGGCCATGGCCCATGGGCTGCAGTGCTTCAGATTATGTTAATTAGTTCAGATTATGTTAATTCAGGAGTAAATCAGGAATGTTCCTCCCCTGGGGCTGAAGCTCAGAACTAACCCCAGTGAAGGTGTAACTCTCACTGAAGTGGGACACTCTCACCTGGACTTGAAAACTCTGAATTGGCACCTTAAAACTCTGCATTAGCACTTCTTATTCCTGAGAGTGAGTCTGGAGCAGAGCCATGACAGTGGGCATGGCTGTGCCTCCCAGAACCTGCTGGGAGACAACACCTTCAGGCTACCCCTGGAGCTCCCCTGGGCTGATGCTGCTCAAACCCACCCTGCAAACATTTTGGTCAGGCTCAGTGTCACCAGCACACACAGGTGCTGTGGCACTCAGGGTGCCCAGGACCCAAAGGAGGAGCTGGGAGGGAACTGGATGGGTCATTTCCCACCTCAGCACAGCATTGTTTGCTTCATCTCCTGAAGCACCTGGTTCCAGCCAGGAGGAAATAAAAATCACTGTATAATGTGTCTAAGACAGACCAAACCCAAGTTAACAGCAGTAGGACTTAAGTTAACAGCAGGAGTTACAACCTGAACCCTGAGGAATTCAGAGTTCATTCAGAGAGAACTCACAGAAGCAGCTGAACCAGGGGATTTAAGAGAAGTGGGTTCTGCCCTCAGCAATGAGTCAGACCTGCCCTTCCCTGCCCTGACAACACTTCCCAGCCCAGCCCTTCTCTCTCAGAGTTCCCCAGTCCCTGGGGGTGCCCCATTCCATTCCCAGCTCTCCCAGGGTTCCCCAGTCCCTGGGGGTGCCCAATTCCATTCCATTCCCAGCTCTCCCAGGGTTCCCCAGTCCCTGGGGGTGCCCCATTCCATTCCATTCCATTCCATTCCATTCCATTCCATTCCATTCCATTCCATTCCATCCCATTCCATTCCACTCCACTCCATTCCACTCCACTCCATTCCATTCCACTCCACTCCATTCCACTCCACTCCATTCCATTCCACTCCATTCCACTCCACTCCATTCCATTCCACTCCATTCCATTCCACTCCATTCCATTCCACTCCATTCCATTCCACTCCACTCCATTCCACTCCATTCCATTCCATTCCACTCCACTCCATTCCATTCCATTCCACTCCATTCCATTCCACTCCACTCCATTCCATTCCACTCCATTCCACTCCACTCCATTCCATTCCACTCCACTCCATTCCATTCCACTCCACTCCATTCCATTCCACTCCATTCCATTCCACTCCATTCCATTCCACTCCACTCCATTCCACTCCATTCTCAGCTCTCCCAGGGTTCCCCAGTCCCTGGGGTGCCCCATTCCATTCCATTCCCAGCTCTCCCAGGGTTCCCCAGTCCCTGGGGGTGCCCCATCCCATTCCATTCCCGGCTCTCTCTCCCCACAGAAGACGTACCGGGCCATGTACGATTACACAGCGGCCGATGCCGACGAGGTTTCCTTCAAGGACGGCGACACCATCGTCAACGTGCAGGCCATCGACGAGGGCTGGATGTACGGAACGGTCCAGAGGACCGGCAAGACCGGGATGCTCCCGGCAAACTACGTGGAGGCCGTGTGAGCAACCCCTGCCCCTGCCCAGAGGGGCACAAAAGGGGGGGTGACACCTCCCAAGGTTGGCCTTGGGACAAAAAGTAACTGCAAAGTATTCTTGAAACGTTATTTCAAAACACCTTGGAAAAGTCACCTGTAAAAGACTACTCTGCATTTCTTCCAATGCCAAAAAATCCCACTTTTTTTTAAACCTTGCCTGGGATTTCCAACATTTCCTCACACACCGTAACATGACACTACAGCTACAGTCCAGGATCTCCAACATTTGATACCAGTACCAAGACTAAGACTCCCAAGCATTACTTTATTCATTCTATAAAAACTCTTTTTCTGGGCTATGTGTTTAAATCTGTTCACTTCCTTTCCCATATAAGCAACATTTAAGCTTAGTATTTCAAACCAAAAATTTATCTGGGGAGGGGAAAACAAACCTTCTCCTCCTGCTTGCTGAGGTCTCACGAATGTGTTCTTTGTGCAACTGTTCTGGGGTCAAAAGCTGTTATTTCTTGTAAATTAGTGACCGAATAAAGCTGATGTTTCTGCAGCAGGATGGATGTGTTCCCTTGTGCTGAAAGCAGGAATTAATCTCACTGGATGGAAGAGCTGAACACACTTAAGGAGGCAGATTTAGAACCAAAGTACCATTTCCAGGGAAGCACAAAAACCTCCATCCACCTTCCCATCACAATTCCAGGCCACCCCTTTGTCCTGTTCCTTTTCTCCATGAGATACACAAACAATACTCCCACCACATCCTTCAGGACCTGCTCCCACCTTCCAGCAGCCCTGGAGACCTCCCAAGCTCCCTCCCAGCCTTGGGAATCCAAAGCAACGCTGAGCAGGAGCTGAACAAAACCCCACAACCACCACACCACGAGCACATCAACAAGTCTGGGAACTATTTTCTCTTTTATTTGCCCACGTGTAAGTCCTAAAACCACCTGCAGCAGTTCCTTCCAATGAACAGCCCCTGTGATAGCCACAGTCCAATATATACAGATCAGCATTCCCGAGGGAATTCTCGCTGAAGGTCTCCCAGAAGCAGCAATTCCATACAATTAAAACCCTCATCATAAATTAGTAACCAAACATCTGCTGTCAGTCTGTACACAATATACAAGAAGCTTCTTGCCAAATTCATTCATTTCCCCCAAGGAAAAAGTCCTCTCCAGCAGGAGAAACTGCTGCCACCCCAGGACACGGCCAAAGCCTGGGAGGCTCTGCAGAGTCCGGACACGCCCCTTTTGTCACTTCTCAGTGGGAGTCTTTACAAAAATACATGGAAAAATAGATCCAGTACAAATCCCAGGTTCCTGCTGTAAGGAATTACACCCAGCTTACCTCCCAGGCAGAGTGTGAGCAGCTCAGAGGAACCCCCCGGGGCAGCAGAGGAGCAGAGCTGGGAGATGGAGCTCTGACCCCACGGGAAGAGTTTGCAGCGCTAAGAACACTTCGGGTTTGACAAAAATAATTTAACTACTCTGTTGGTTTGGTTTCACAGTCTCTTTGCTATTGCACAACTCTTGTCAAGTTTTCTTCCACTGCCTGAAAGAAATATGCATAGCAACACCAGACAAATGCCTCTGACAGGGAGGAAACAGGCCCACAAATTAGGGGGGATAAAAACCACCAACAACAAAAAAGAATAAGGGAATAAAAACCAACCCCATGACAACAAATTCATGTAAGTGTTAAAAAACACCTTCTGTTCAAAATGCACAATTTAAGGAGTAATTCACCAGAAAGAAAAACAAGGTGTGTGTGTGTGGGGAAAAAAACCTGTTGTAACAAAATCCTCCTTTCCTGAGCCCCGGGAAGCAGCTACTGGGAGCTGTCGGGGGGTGGTGATTTCCAGCGGGACTGCAGGTTTCTCAGGATGCAGGTGGACATGCCAGCAAGTTTCTCCTGCATCTCGAAGAGCTGGCTCCCAGAGTAGCTGTGGAGATCCTGGGAGCTGAGCTGGGCAGAGAGGGCCTGGATCTGGCTCAGGAGATCTGCCGGGGGCTGCTCGCTCGCAGCGGGCACGGCCGGCTCGGTCGGCTCTGGAAGGAAGGGAAAGAGGGAAGTGGAGGGAGAGCCAAGCAGAATTCCAGCTGGTTTTCTAGAAAATTACAGCTGCAAGCAGCCCATAAAGTGTTTGTTCCACACAAGGAGTGCTCCTGACACAGTGAGCCCTCAGAACTCCACCCCACCCCTTCCTGCTGGTGAGTTGTGCTGTGTCTGATCGGGATTGTACAACTGATCCAAGGGCTCAAATGGAAGGATTTGCTCCCAGTCCGACAATGCCAGTGCCCTTTGAGCTGTGTTGTCCCAAATCCCACACTTAACTCCCACATTTAAACTGGAGGGCTGAAGAGAAGTCACCCCTGAGCTTTCTGTTCTGCTTCCAGCCTCATGGATTCTGAGCCACCAGGCCAAACTCCAGGGAGACACAGGAAGATCCAAATAAAAATCTACACCCCAAATCCCAGCTGGGTGTGCAGGGAATCAATCCCACTCCTGTCCCCACCTCAGGATAAGGCACCACTTCACTATCTCATCGTGTTTGTTCTGTGCACCCCCAGCAGGGCCCAAACAGGGACCAGCTCAGCACTCACACCTGGCTGAGGCTCAGAACACCAACTGCTTCAGCCCTGCCCAATTTGTTCTTTGCTTCTTTAGGGAAAAAACAGCATTTTCTCCCCTCAAAATATGTAAGTTTTAAGAAGCCACTGCTACAGGGCTTCATAAGGCAGCATTTAATGGGGTAATATTGGCTATCAGCACCCCCAAAATAAAAATAAAAGCATCAAGTGTTCTCATCAGGAGAGAACAAAGACAGCAGAACCCTCCAAACCCGAAGCAAAAAGCCACCAAGAGGTACCTGTTCCAAGCTTTTCTTCATCTGCACAGAGTGGTTTATCCTCCACATCATTTACAGGCTTCTCAGCATCTTCAAGCACCACCATTTCCTCCAACACTCGAGACTTCACCTGAGCATTTCGTGGGACAGAACAAGGCAAATGTTTTTAGAGTAACAAAAATAAAATTAGGATTACGTGGTGAGAAGCACAATAATAAATACATAAATAACAAACACATGTCATAATAAAGACAATCACCATTCCTGTTAATAACAACAGTGTAACCAAGCCATCTGTACCTTGAATTCCCACCTACTGAGACAGGCAGGGATCAGGTTTCAAAGTGCTGTTATTAATTAGGCAAAAAATACATTATTCTTCACGATGATGGCAATTAGCAGTTCATTAGGCCAACACCGGCTTCCTGGGTGTTAAAATTCAGCTTTACCTGTTGCTCATGATATCCCTTGAGGGCTCTTTTGAGGTTGGAGACTTTGGGAGAGCGGATGGGAAGGGTTTTGATCTCCAGGGCTGTCAGACAGCTCAGGTCCCCCACGGTCTTGATGTTCTTGGCTCGGATGAGCTGCCCCAAACCTCTGGCACTGCAGCAGGGGAGGGAAATGCCTCATTACCAGACAGTCATGGAATATTCAGGATTGCAAGGATCAGACTCCGACTCCTAGCCCTGCACAGACACCCCAGCAATCCCACCCTGTGCCCCAGAGGATCATCCCAACCCTCCTGGAGCTCTGGCAGCCTTGGGGCTGTGCCCACTGCCCTGGGGAGCCTGTTCAGTGCCAACCACCCTCTGGGGGAAGAACCTTGCCCTGAGATCCACCCTGAGCCTGCCCTGGCACATCCTGGAATTCAGGTCCTTTCTGCCTGGCAGAAATCCTGCAGGAATGATGATTCACATGCACACAAGTAAAGGGAAAAACCAGAGCAGCTGATGCTCCCTCTGCAGCAGCTCACACAGAATGCAGTTTCTCCTGTGTCCAGCAGGGAATGGAATGGATAAAGCCCACTCTGTGCAGTGAGAGTGGAAGGAAAAGGCCCCTCTGAGCAGTTCCTGCTGCACCTCTATAGTTTGTCCTGATCATTTCTTGAAATTCAGATCAAAAACCAAATTAGGAAGTGCCCAGTCCCTGTATATTTGAAATGCAGAATTTTTCCAAGTCCCACTTTGCCTTCAATACAGAAAACTCCAACTGATGTCACAGAGATCAATCTGCCCTGGCACATGAAACAGAAAGCTCCCTGTCCCTGGGTACAAACTTTTCAGTCTTCAAAAAAAAAATACTTGAAGAATTCCAAGCTAGACAAGCCTCTCCCCCACCAAACCAACCTCCCTCCTTCTGAAAAAAATTGTGAAGACATCAGTAAGTTGTCACAAAATGTGGGTTTGTAGGTCCAATATATTGAAATGTCCCCTTTAAAAGGGACAAAGCCAGTTTACCAGATGTTTGATGTGAGCTGGGGTAAGATGACATCAACGGGAGCTTTGCAGCCAGCCAGGGCTGGGTACACGTGTTCCACAGGGCATGGCAGAGGCTCCTTGGCCATTTCTGTGATCTGGAATAACCCAGGGAAGGTGTTAAATTCACTGTCACATGACTGAATACAGGGAAAACAAAAAAAAAAAAAAAGAAGGGAAACATGAAGCAAAGCACTTCTTACTAAACACTTCTTTGAGCTCTTAAATTTAAGGGTACGGGATCCTGGGGACAGAAATCCTTTGGTTGGAGTGGTAATGTGCTGGATAGAAAAAGAGGAAAAAAACATCTCAGGATTGTAGGAATAGTCAGGAGGAATTCAGTTAACAGCAGGAATTCAGTTGTCAGCCTCTACCCCCTGAGATCTCAGAGGAACAGGACGAGTCAGACTAAAAGCAGTTACAGCTTCTCACATCCCCTGCTCTTACAACTCCCTCAAGTGACTGCAAACAGGCACCAAAGCCCTGCTCCCTGTGACAAATAACATCAACACTTGCCCCATGCACAAGACACGTGAAGAACTCACCTTGGTCTGAATGTTGGAGAGGATTTTCAGGCTCCTGGAAGAGGGGGAGGAGTGGGATCTGACCACGGGACTCCTCCTGTCGATGTCGTCCGCCAGCCCCGCCTGGTGAATGGGATCTGCAAAGGACACCCGACGGATCTGGGGGGAGCAAAGGAGGCTTCAGAGGGGGCATTCAGAGCACCAGGGCCTGGGGAGCAGCTTGAAATGAGGTCATGGAAGTTCCTGGCTGACCCAGGAAATGTCTCACCCACGGACACACTGTGGATTCCTCTCTGCCAAGGGAACTCCCCAGGCAGAGGTAAATGAGGATGCTGACCCTGAGTTTTGCAGTGCTCCAGAGCAGGCTCTGGTGCTCTGCTTCAAAAAAATAACCCCTCACTACACCCTCACAATGGAAGTCTGTCAGTGCTGGCACCCTCAGCCTCAGCAGCAGATTATTCCCAGAGAAACCCATCCCTTGAACATATCTGGAGCTCACTGCAAGCCCTGACCCCACCCCAGCCGGGAGGGAGGCACCACAATCCCCAGGGCAGTACCTTGTGAGCAGGTGACAGGGAGTCATCGTCCTGGTGGCTTCTTTTGGCCCCTCTCTTCAGAATGCTGGTGGAAGGGGAAGCTGAGGGAGACCACGTGCAGCGGGCCTGGATGCTGGTGGGGCTCTCATTCACCAGCACCAGAGAATCACCACCTGCCTTCAGAGGCGACTCCGCACGGGGATCTTCCACGGCCACGTTTTCAGGCATTGTTATATCAGTTTCCAATAACTCCTCCTTCATCTCTTTCTCTGGAATAACACAAGTTTCTCCTGTGGTATCCTCAGCTTCTCCTTCATCATCCTGATTGCCCTTTAGATTGCTGATCTCCTTCTCCTCAGGTTTGCTATCAACAGGCAGTTCCTCAGGCACCTCCTCCAGCTGTCCATTCTGACTTATTTCTTCCTGCTCTGGAGCTGCTGTTTCCTTCTTCACTGGAGCTGCTGGTTGCTCCTGCTCTGGGGCTGCTGGTACATCCTTTTCTGGAGCTGCTGGTTCCTCCTGCTCTGCAGCCACAATGATTTCCTTTTCTGGAGTGGATGGACCACCCTTTTCTGGAGCTCCTGGCTCCTCCTTCTCAGGAGCTGCTGGCCCCTCCCTTTCTGGAGCCAATGGTCCCTCCTTCTCTGGAACCACTGTTATTTCTTTCTCTGGAACTGCTGGCTCCTCCTCCTCTGGAGCCTTTGATAATTCCTTTTCTGGAGCTGCTGTTTCCTCCTCCTCTGGAGCTGCTGGTCCCTCCCTTTCTGGAGCCACTGTTCTTTCTTTCTCTGGGGTTGCTGGTCCATCCTTTTCTGGAGCTGCTGCTCCCTCCCCTTGGCTCTCCATGGCCAGGCAGCTCTCCCCAGGCTCCCCTGGAACCCCCTCTGGCAGAACCTGCTCCGTTGGCTCCTTCTGATGAGCAGGTCCCTTTATCTCCTCTATGAAGTCACCGGTTTGCCCTGCTGAGCACTCTGCACTCCCTGGCTCCACCTCCATCCCGACACTGCTTCCTTGCAGCTCATCCACAGACATTCCCTGGCTTCCCAAGGGCTCCTCTGGGGGATGCACTGGAGTGCTCATGGCACAGGGGGCCAGGGAGAAGCTTTCCTCCAAATCCGAGTGCTCACACAGCTTTGAGTCCCCTGCAGGTGTCTGAGCCGGGGGGCTCTGGGGCTCGTCCAGCTCTGGAGTTTTCCTCTTCCTGGATTCAGTCAGTGATGTGATTTGTTGCTTTGGCTTTTTAAAGCAGCAATCACAGTTCTTGCTTTTTTTGGCCCTCTTGCTCCTCTTGCTGTGACACTGGGGTGTTTGCAGAGAGGAAGCATCTGCTGCTGGAGCACAGCCCCCTGGGCTCGCCTGCTTCTCCTCCTCCTGGCTCTCCTGAGCTGCTGTCCCGTCCTGCTCAGGCACAGAGGGGCTGGGCAGTGACTCCATCACTGTGTCGCTCTGCTTTTGCTCCTCACTGATGCTCTGAGCAGCAGGTGGATTCCCAGGGCTGGCAGATCCCACAACTTCACCAGCAGTGGGAGGAATTCCCTGGTTTTCAAGGCCACACGGTTCAGCTGTGCTGACTTCAGCTTCCCCTTTATTTGCTTCCAGTGGGCTCTTAGTTTCATTTCCCTGGGAAGACACCTCCTGGCTATGGCTTCCTGGCTGCCCATCTTTCAATTTACCTTCCAGAGAGTCACTTCTGGTTTTCACTTTCCCGTGTTTTTTCTTCCTTGTGCTTTCCTCCTTGGCAGAGCCCTCAGCCTCCGAGTTCTCTATGCTGGAGAGCAATCCCTGGGCACATCTCCTGGTGTGGTACCGTGGGCGCTCCACCACCTTCAGGCTGCTGTCCTGACCCTCCCCCTCAGCCTTCAGGGGCTCTTCTGCCCTCCTGCCACTCCTGCTCCCTTCCCCATCGAGGCCCCTGGAAGCAGGAGAGCCCTTGGAGCTCCGCTCCTCTGCAGCTCTCCCAGCTTGCCTGCTCTCTTTTGCACTCGTGTTTTCTGCTGTTCTCCCAGAAACTCCCTTCTGCTTTTGGGATCCATCATCCTTAGGCTGGGCCCCCTTCTTCTGCCCAGCTTTGTCGTCCTCTTTCCGCCTGTCCCTCCTTTGGATCCCGTCCTCCTTGTCCTGGCTCCCCGAGGAGCTCTCCGCGGTCTCCGAGCGGCGCCTCAGGGAGCGCCGCAGCACCTTCTGCTGAGGGGACACTTGTGGCACCTGGGTGTCCTCACCCGTGGCCTGGTCAGGGGAGATGGTGGTGTCTGGGGGGGTGTTCTCCTTGGAATCCATGTCCAAGGCCCGGGCCCTCTCTATCTCCGCGATGGTGTCCTCGACCTTCCTGATGTCGGCGTCCGTGGAGTGCAGCGCCTGTGACTGGGACAGCAGGATGTGCTCCACGTCCTCCACGGTGGAGCACAGCTCAGGAGTGCTTTCCATGCTGTCAGAGGCCAGAGACTCCTGTTCTGACCTGTTCAGCACCTTGGATTTGTTGCCCTGGAGCTCCATCTTGCTCTGGCGGCGCGTGAGCCTGCGGATGGCGGCGAGCACGGGCTCGGGCTCCGGCTTCGAAGGCTTCTTGTTTTCCTCTGCAGGTTTCTCTGCTTTGGCACCGCCCTGCTCCTGCTTGCCCGCCAGGGCAGCACCCCCAGCCGGCTCTGAGAAGGGGGGGAGGGCTGAGGGGCTGAAGGGCCTGCTCTCTGCCCCGCTGAACTTCTCCAGGGTGATGAAGGATTGCCGGCGGCTCACGGGCTGGGGGGTGCCAGAAATGACGTCACTGGAAGCTGAGCTGTTGCTGACGTTGGAAGTGTTTTCGTTCCCTGTCGAGCTCTCCTTGGAAGCTGCTTCCACAGAGCTTGTCTCTAACTGCTCTCCAGCTGATGGCTCCTCTGCAGTCACCTGGGCTGTGCTGTTCTGGGACTCCCCCTCGCTGGTGGGAGCTGAGCTCTCCCCTGAGGGACACCCCTCACTCCTCGCATTTTCTTCCTGTCCCGAAAATATCAACAGTGGTTATAAAAGACACTTCTTTTCAACCCCTAACCCAAAGCAAAGAACTGCTAAGATGGTTTATTTCAGTTTTGCTAGAGGTATTAACAAACTTACAGCTCAAGCAGTAAGTTTGTATTAAAAGCCTGCTGTGTTTTACCCAGTTATCAAACCAGCTGTTTAGCCAATTCCTCTCCAAAAGGAAATCAGGATTTACCACCTTTACCCCAATAAAATCTTACTGACAGCACATGCACATGACTGACCATAAATATAAATCCCTGGAATACCTGCAGCTGTGTAACAAAGTTCCAACACAGCCCCACTAGAACTACTGATATAAATCCTGCCCTTTTAAAATCAAAATGCCCAATAAATGCTATAAACAGAACACAGCAAAAGCACTGCAGTGGTGGTGAATTCCCACCTGGTGATGACAAAAGAAGACAAACCACAAAAGCTCTCATGTTCTGGTTGTAACTCTGATATTTTAATCACCATCAGACAATGAGGAATTACCTGAGGTTTGCTTTCAGCATCTTCTTTGGCATTTTCTATTAAAGGTGATACTTCCCTAAAATAGAAGTTACTTAAATTAGAGTGGTTGCAAAAAAAGGGGGGCACCTTTAATGTCCTCAGTGGTCACTCCTACTTACAAAGAGTCCTCCTGGCTTTGAGTATACTGAGAAAATAAGGTGGTGTCCTGTGATGCATCCAAATTGTTGTACATGGCAGGAATATCAACCCTGAAACAAAAGCAGCCATGGGAAGTCAGACTCGTCTTTGGAATTTATTATCTCCTTATTTCAAGGCCACTCTTTTCAGCTGCATGAAATAATTCTTTATTTCCAACAAGCTTTTGGGGAAAATTCTGCAAAGAATTGCCCAGCACTTGCTGACTGCACAACCCAGCCCTGCCCCATGATTTAAGAAAAATTACATCTTCTGCTTCACTTCATGAAGTAAAAATGTAAATTCCAAACTACCAAACTCCAAACAGACTACAGAGAGTGCATTTAATCAAAAGAGGAAATGCAGTCTAAGAGGTAGTTTGGTTGCTTTAAAATAACAAAGCAGGGTGCTCTTTTAGGTTTAAACTTTATAACTTGTATGGGAGGTCAAGACTCAATTCCCTGTAGCAGTTTGAGATACAGGAGCTGAAGGTAATTCAGTGTGAGATGCTCAGTGTAATGACATTTCACATGAAAACACAATAAATGCCAGACCTCTTTGACCTCAGCACTTCCTTCTGATGTTCTGTCAATACTCTTGCTTTTGTTTCTGGAGGAATAAAGACAAAATCAGCCGATTTCTCCTCTTCCAGAAGCACCTCACTTGGAGTCTTCGAAGATGAAAATTCCAGTTTTAACTGCAGAGAGGGAAAAAAAAAACCCAAACGCTGGGTTAGAAACAGGAACTGCAAATAAGGAGTTCCTCAGGAACACAAGAGCCACAAAACTGATTCTTTCATTATTTGTCCCTGGGGATTTGCAGCAGCAGAGTGGATGTCCTGCTGCAGGATGGGATGTGTGATTCTCTCAGCCCTCTCTGGGAACACTTTACCTTTGCAGGTGTTACTTGCACGTTGTTGGACTTGTCTTTTCCCTCAGTTTTCTGGTCACTCACGTGTGCCAGCATGGAACCTCGTTTCTGAGCCAGCTTCACTTCCATTCCACTGATCTTTGCATCCAGCTGGGAATTCTCCATCTATTCCAGTAAAAATACACTCTATGAAGAAACTCCAAGCTCACAAACCCACCCTGAGATGTATTAGTTCCTACAACTGAACTGTCCCACACCCCCATTTCCCTCCAAATTACACAGAGCACAACTTAAATTCATTATTCAGAGAAGCTTTAAAAGGCATAAAATGTTTAGAACCAGCTCAGCCTTTTGACAGGGCTTACCCAGCATAGTTTACCATTCCAAACACGAAGCCAGTGCAGGCCAATCACAGTAAAAACCACAACTGACCTCCTGAGGGATTCCCAGGAAGCCCCCACCAGGGCTCACCAAGGCATTTACCGTGTCAGAGAAGGGCCCACTGCATTCTTCACCCATCTCAATGCTCTCAAAGCCAGGCAGCAGGAGAGGAACTTTCTTTTTGGCTTGGCTTAGCACGGATCTGTTCAACAAAAGAAGCATTTTAAACTTCTGGAGGGGGAGAAGAAGCACAGCAACAGCAGCAGATCCCCCCAAAAACGGGGACATATTTGCACATAACCCCAAATCCCTTCCTTTGGAGATGCAAAGATGAAAAATCTCTTACTTTAACTGCTCAGGGTACGTGAGGGAGGCAGCCTTGGCAAAGGTGCAGTTCCAGAACTGGGCACACTGGTTCCTGAGCTGTTTGCTCCTGTGCTGGAACCCTGCACAGAGCAGAGGGCAGAGCTGCTCCAGCATCTCACTGTCGTAGGAGCCCGTGCAGTGGGACTGCAGACACTGCAGGATCTCTGCCAGCAGCTTCTCAAGCTGAGGGACAGAAGAAACAAGAGAGTTTTCACTTAAACACTGAAATAATATGTGCAATATTTGAATTAAAACCCCACTGAAAACATTATTATCCCATATAATTGTAGAGCCTGAATAAACAACTTCAAACACCACACCTCACAAAAAGTCTGAACAGCTTTCAGCTCCTCCCCTCAGCAATAAACACACCATTTAAATATTAAATCTCCACATTTATTACATTTTTAACTTGGTTTTTTTTTAATACAGGAGGAATGGCAAAGCTCTGGTGCACCACATTGCCCCCAGCCCCAGCTATTTCTCCAGCACATTTACCTTGTTGTTGAGGTTGCTGTAGACTTTGGGTACCTCAGGGAGCCTGCCAAAACAACCAGAAAAGTTGGATTTTGCTGTCTCATTTAGCCCAAGCATTAAAATGTAACATCTAATACCTTCAAGCTTTGCACAGTAGTTTTAGTGTCTAGTGGAGAGTATATGTAATTTGGTATAGGATATAAAACTCGATGGAATCATGTTGGGAAATGATTCCTCCTGTTGGGTGATTAAACCATTTCCTGATGTCGTTTGAGGGCAGACTCTCCTTTAACCCTCACTCATATGCTGAATTTCAGAGGAATTAATGGAAAAGTCAGTAGCAATTAATAGAAAAGTTAAAATTAAAGCTTCCCTTCTGAAGTACTTCCAACTGCCTTCTCTGTGCTTCTCTTCACCCTCTCCCCAAGCACGTTTCCCAGGTCCCATAAGCACCTGCATTAAAGAGCTGAAACACCCCCTAAACTAAGCAATTCCATGTGAGTAAACCCCCGAATTAGCCAGAAAAATGTGAGGAAACTGCCATTTAGTAGCTTATTTTAGAACCCTGTGTCCTCCAAGCTGAGGAGGTGCCCAAAATTGGATTTGCTTGCACGTGTCTTCCTTCAAAAATACATCCAACTGCTCTTTTCTTCCTCAATAAATATAAGAAAGACAATGCTCAAAGGCTGATGAGGTGGGAGATGGAGAGAGGTGGAGTCCAACTCATCCTTACACAGGAACAAGTGGGTTTTTGCCTCTGGAATGGGGATTTCTGACGAGTTTTAAGGTGAATTTTAGGCAGCCCTGCTCCGAGTTGCAGTAAAATCTAAGTCAATTAAAGAATAAAGCAGCAAAGCCACATAAAGAGAAAAAAAAACACAAGTAAAGTTTTTCCCAGTACTTCTTTCTGCTTAAAAACCTCCAGGATCTGAGTGTACAGCTCACTGTGATTTAACTCCTGCAAAATTTTCTGCTGTTCCTGCCCACTCGAAAAAACAAATGATAATTAACAAATAATCGTTAATTATCAGTGAAAATATGCAGCGAAAATCAACAGGGGGTGGAAAGCAAACACCTGAGCCTTGCAGAGATGCCAACACTCCCAAGTCTGAAGTTTTTCAACACCAAGTTTTGGGAAGAGCTGAGAGCCCCTGAGCTGCCTCCCGCCCCGCTCCAGGAGCACACACAACATTCCCCCGGTAAAAACCACCCCAATTTCCCACCCACTGCCGAAAATACTCGCCTGGTTTGTTCGTAAAACCCCGCCAGGGGGTTGGCAAAGGTGGCCAGGGTGGTGGCCAGGAGTGAGGGCAGGGAGATGTGGCTGATGATGGTGTGCAGAGCAGCCAGAAGCGAGGGCCCCACGGAGAGCAGCGTCTCCCAGCAGCTCTCCTGGGGGCTGAGCACGTGGAACGAGTCCAGCAACGTCACCAGCAGCTTGAACAGGGAGGAAAGTTTGCCCAGGGGCTCCTCCTTCTTCTTCTTGGACCAATCTGAAGGTGTCTGTGGAGCTAAAATTAAGAGGACAAAAAAAAAAAAGTTAATAATTTTCCTTAATAAACAGGCCCTACAGCAAAACACATCTTGAACATTCAGTCTTTGATTGAACATTCAGCAGGACTTTGATTCCCAAACTGTATCTACATTCAAAGAGTTTAAAACCAGACCTGACAGAATAAACACATTTTTATTTTTATCATATATCTACTGATTCCTATTCCTCTTATTTGTGATTTCCTGTTCCTCTTATTATGATTGTCTATTTATTGTCTACTTGAAAACAGACAACAACCACTCTACAGATACCAGTGGATACACATCAACTTTGGAACAGGTGAGGAGGGCAAATATAAATTTATATTAGTTTATTTATTTATAATATAATTATACACACACATACATACATATCTATAATAATGATTCCTTTATAAGTGAAGTTTACATCATGTTTCTCCTCATCACCAGTCCCAATTAAAGCATTCCATTCCCACCCAGCATCTCACTGCTTTAACAACTCCCTGTGGGGCAGAGAAATTAGAAATGCTTCCAATTTTATACTGAGTTGTGTTGTTTTGTGAATTATTTTTCAGTTTTTCAGGGAATTTCACAGAACATTCGGACTTGGAAGGGACCCACAAAGAAGAGGTCTCAATGTATATTGATATAATATATTTATAGCAATCTCAGCTGTGTTTTGCCAGGTTGTGCAGGAACTGCTTGACAAATAACAAAGGTCTGAGACTCAATCAGGCTGATTAACTGATCATTTTAATTCCTTTCATGATCTTTGCCAATCCCTTCCGAGGTCAGGGAGCACATGCAGCACATTCACACCGCTGATATCCTACAGTTGTCACTTCTGCACCCACAACAACACTAATTTTTACCAGGTTTAAGACACACAGGACCCCCCAGTATTGAAGGCTTTCCTTACATCTGGTTTTTGGCTGGTATTTGGTACCATATGGAGCAAAGTTGATGCACTCAACCATGACTGACACAACGTGGGTGAGCCCTTCCATCATGGAAAACATCTGAGGAGCAACAGAAACCATCAGCAACAGGAATCACCAGCAGAGCCCACGAGAGAAAACAGGGACAGGAGAACACACTCTGGTCACTCAGGACAGAAATGCAACAGCTTTTAATTTAAAGGTGGGGAAATTGCTCTGCATTAGCAGACCCAGATAAAATTACATTATAAATACATCTACACATGATGATGAGTCTTCCCAATCTACACAAATAAGGCATAAGCAAATGCACTGTGTAAACAGCAAAGCAGCTCTAAGAAGGTGTCAGATTGAAGATGGATCACAAGAATTAAGGTTCAAGGTTTTTTCCCCTCACAAACCATCAAAAAACCTTCTAAATATTCTAAATCTTCTGCTTTGCAAGGAACATTGATATTCTGGACTAAAACAAAGTTTCAATGTAACTTGCACACCGAACTTTTAAATTGTTTCAGTTTGGCTTGTTTATTAAGTATTGATTTTTGGCATTGAGGTTTATCATCAGCAGCATCCAAGGCAAGCTGTAATGATGCAAACCTCTAAATCCCAGGTTTTCAAATTCCATTTTTTCTCCTCATTTGTTTCTGTGACAGTATTATTTTAGAAGAATGAACTTCAAGCACAAAGGGGTTTATCTTCCACAGCTGATGTTCACACCCAGACCCTCCACCTCCCCTTATGGTGGGGGTTTCCTCTTTCAAAAGTTTTCTCTTTTCTAAAGTTTTACAAGTCAAGTCTTTAAATTTTACTGAACGAGGCTGAAGGCACCAGGAATTAACCAGCAGGAAGTTAAATCTTCCCTCCTTTCTATTTAACATGCCTGGGTTTGTGCTATTTGCCAACTGAAGTTCATTTCAACAGCATGGTGACGTTCACTAAACTGCTATCACTGAATCAGTTAGGACACCAACTTAAAGACTGCTTAACTGCTATTTCAACATTTAATAATAAATAATTTAATAATTAATTAATAAATGTTAATATTTAATGTTTATAGTTATTTTTACTCCCTTCTTTCAATCCATTTCTTTACCAACTCCCACCTATTTCCTTCCACGCAAAACCAAGCCCAAATCAGAGTTTCCCCCGGGGTTCTTCCCCCTGCTTTCCCCTAAACCCGCTGGAGCGTTTTAGAGAGCGCAGCGTGCCAGGTTTGTACTCACTCCTGGAGCTTCACCTTGGAGCCCAGCCAGCACTTTGGCAGCCAGCTCCTCACAGCACACGTTGTCCTCGGCCGTGGCCACCAGGGCGGCACAGCGGGCGAAGGCGCGGTACAGCTCGGCCCACGAGCGCAGCAGCGACCTCATGCTGGGCTGCAAAACCACACAAAACCCTCATCAACTCAAGCAATGTGCACAGGGGATGAGTTTTGTTCTTCTGTCAAACCCACGGGGCTCTTGAGGGTTTTTAATTTTAGCTGTTGGAGTTTGAAACCCCCACCCGAGCGGCCGGTGTAACGTCCACCACACGTGCTGGTGGCCGATTCCCCCCGCGGATTGTCAGGAGGTTTTTACCAACCCCACGCTGGGTTTAGCTGGGGTTGTGTACTCAGTGGTACCTGGGGAAAGCCCTGGGTGGGGAAGATGTGTGACACTGGCAGCAGCAATGCACTGTACACAGCACTGAAGTTGTGTTCCAGGGCATCCCCCTGATTCACTTCATTGGTCTGCAACGAGAAAGGAGTTTTGGGGTTACTGGAGCTGCAAAACTGAGGTGACAGAATAAGGCTGTTCCTGGTACACTGACTTGGACATGAGGTCTGTGCAAGCTCAGCTGACAGTGGCAGTTTGGAATTAGCTGTTCTGCTCTTGAAAGAGCTCAGGCTGCTACTGGAAAAGGGGTAAAAAGCACTGTTTGTAATTCCAAGAATAAAAACAGTCTGTTAGAAAATGTCTTTGGTGTTTTTCACTCAGTTCAGCTGCATTGATGACAACAATCTACCCAGAATCATGGTTTGGGTGGGAAGGGACCTCAAAGCCCATCCCATCCAACCCCCTGCCATGGGCAGGGTCACCTTCCACTAGTCCAGGTTGCTCCAACCCAGCCTTGGACACTCCCAGGGATCCAGGGGCAGCCACAGCTTCTCTGGGCAACCTGGGCCAGGGCCTGCAACACCCTCCCAGCCAGCAATTCCTTCCCAATCTCCCATCTCTCCCTGCCCTCTGGCAGTGGGAAGACATTCCCAATGTCCTGTCACCACATTCCCTCGTAAATAGTCAGAGCACCTGAAGTTCTGTTCATAAATTCTCAAGATTTTTAGGTCCAACGACTACATGAGGATTAATTAATTCATTCACATGCATGACTGTGTTTATAAACTTAAGAAAAGCAGAAAAGCACTCCCAATCATCCTGACCATGGCACTCATCACTGTAAAGCCCCCTGTGGATGAAGATAAATGATCAGCACGAGGTTTTCCTGTGGGGTTTTGGGGTGGGGAAGTGAACCCAAAGCCCCCGTACCTGATTAATCCATTCTGTCAGTGGATTTACAACAATGCTCCACATCCTCCAGAGATGCTCCTTGTTTGCCACCTGCTTGGAGCTCTGGTTGATGACACAGATCACAGACTCACTGAAAGCCAGGGGAGACGTGGGGCCAGACAGGGCACAACCCACAAGTGTTTCCAGAATCACAAAGAATCTGGGGGAGGAAGTTCAACAGGTCTTTTTGCAGATATTTTTTTCAGGAATAAAAACCAAACAAACACATTCTGTGAAGTCTTCCAAGGGAAGTCTGACATGAGCAACCACCAGCACCTACCTCTCATCTGTTACACAGCATTCCAGGAGGTTGTTATGGAAAAGCAGCTGGATTAGGAACAAAGCTGGTGTTCCCTTGGAAGAGAAATTTAAGAGGTTAAAACACCACAAACACTGCTCAGATGAAATGGCTGCCTCACATCTGTACCTGCATGCTATATTTGAAGCAGAAATTCACAACTGTTATTGTCCAAAATTGTCAATTCTAACAACTCCAAATAAAACTGAAAGCTGGGAAGCTGAGCTGCTGCCAGATCCTGGGATTTGCTCAGTTCAAGGATGCAACAAGAGACCTTTGGGACAACTTCTGGTAAAATCTGTCACAAAACACCTCAGGTTTGATCACGTTAGAGAATTAACAAAATGCATTTCACTTCAACCACCCTAAGAAAGTTCTGACTCTTGTAGCCAAGTCAGAAAATGTAAAGAAAGCACTGGTGGTAAAGAGCTGGGAGGAATTTTGGGAGCTGAGCTGTTCCAGCAGACCCAACTTTATCCTACTCAGCTGAGTTCAGCATTTGCTTACCCTTGTTACACTCAGGCCTGCTCTCAGATATTTGTCTGCTTTTCCAACCTCCAGATCAATTCCATGCCTGGCTAATAAAGTAAATTTTGGGCTGAAAACTTCTATTGCCACTGCTGCAAAATAAGAAGTTGCCTTCTGTCTACTGGTGGATGTAGAAAACCTGATGGTCAACCAGTTCTAAAAGCCTTTATATACCTTTCAACTATTCAGCCTCCTTGCAAAGCACCTAAAATCTGTATTTTAAATCATGTCCTGAGCCTGAAAAATCCCTTTTCCATTATTACTTCCACTACCTATCCATCCTTATCTCCAGACTTGTTAAATTACTCCTCAGAAGTGAGAGTTGGAAAAAAACCAATCTACATTCTGGAAGATGGAATAATACAGATCTGGCTCTCATGAAGTACAACTATGACCTCCTAATGCCTTTCAGCAACAATAAAATTCTGGAATAAAGTCAGACTTACATTTAAAAGATCCATATCAGCCACCTGGTAGGCTGGTGATCCCAACACTTTTGGAGGCAACTCCTTGACAGTAATGTCAATGAGGGACTAAGGAGGGGGAAAGAAGGAAATACAGGTAAATATATTTTTCTGAGGGTGGAAATATTTTAGGTAACAGCACAAATAAAAGCAAAATTGGTTCCCTTTAGGAAAAAGAACAAAATAAATATATCAGGTAAGTGTCTTTTGAAGCAGAAGGTTCTGGCAGGAGAACCATGGACTCAACTGTGCTGCTAAATCTGAAAAGCACTGTTAAAGCAAATTCCTTACCAGGATTTTCTGCACAGGAAGGGAGCTCGACCTCACAGTGTTTTTTAAGGCCTGGAGCAGCATAGTCAGGATTTCTGACCCTTGCTTCTCTTTCTTATTTCCTGGAATAAGGAATATTTCCAGTTAGAGCAGAATCAAGGAATGCTCACTCTGACCATCAATAAAACTTTCTATTTAAGTATTACAAGACCAAAAAAAAAAAATCTGTGTATATTTGTCAAAATATACTAAATACTTGAGGGATTCGGATTGCATTGATCCAAGGAATTCTCTTCATTTCTCTCACCGATTGCAGTTAAATCTTTCAACATAAAAGATTTCAGTATCAAGAATATTCTGGACTTTCAAAGCCTTTACAGCATAATGGACACTTTTTACATAGGGAATAACTTTTATACATCTGTAAAGACACTACAATTTATTATGAAACAATTTAATTACAGAAAAAGGCAGCCACAGTCACACATCCAAGATTTCACGCTGATTTGAGTAACATGAAGGTCTCCATTTCTACAAAGACTTGAAGTGGGGGAATTTTTAATTTTTTTTCTTAAATTGCTTTAAAAAAACCCCAATTACTGATGAAGATTAAATCCAAACTTCACCAGCAAGGAAGTAACAACTTATGGTCCAGTTTTAAACCTCACACAACCTTTAACTGGTCAGCAATGACAAACTGAGAAAACGAGACACTTCTTACCTGATTCAATTGCTGTTTTTACATATCCATTTATGTCCTTCCATATAACATTCAGCATACAATCTGCAAGGCAGCAAAAATGTTTTTATTCAGTGTGCAATAAAACATGAAAACAATAAATGAAGTTGCAGGTGAAATACAAATTGTGTTCAAAGACAGACTTTGATTTAAGTTAAAAATTACTTAAGTTTTCCAAGTTAGGCCAGTTCTGTTTAATGTAACATCAGGATATTGCACACAAAGTGCTTGTTTCTTATGTTTCTCTCTCACACTTGATTTTGCAGAAAATAATGGAAGTGCACCATTAAATTCTTACCAGGAACTTCTTTTCCAACTGCAATGAAGCCATCCTGCACTGCACTGATGAGAGTGCTGGCATGCTTACAAAAAAAAGAAGGGCTGCTGAGCAGGGGGGACTGCAGAGGCTCTGCAACAGAAAATGATCCATAAAGCTGTTATTTTGCAGTTTACTGGTAAAATCAGCCTTAAAAATAAGCATTTAACACAACACCCTAAAGGTGACAGCTAACAGTTTTAAATGTTCACAGCGTTTCACCCCAACAGGCATCTTTACATCCAGTAAAACCAGCAAGGAGATGATGCAAAAATACTTCCAAAATGCATCAAATTCACGTACCTAAACTGAGCACGAGTTTGTTCTGCTTGGCAAAGTCTAAAACTGCTGGTCCCATCAAGAAGTGCAGCAGCATTTCAATGCCCAGGAGCTGGATGGAAGGAAACACCACCATCCCTGAGGAGCTGGAATTCAGGTTTATCCTGGGCGTGGCTGGACTCACAAACGGGTAAGGACCTAAAGCAGGGGGGAAAAGTCACAGTGGCTCCCATTCCAAAAGAAAGGGAAGATCCAACACACCCAAATCTCACAGGACAACAATTAACCATTGTACAGGGTTGGCCAAAAGGGAACTCTTAACAGCCAGACACTCCTGCTGTGGGGTTTCACATCACAGCCATCACCAAGTGTTTTCCAAGTGTAAATGTCTGCCCAAAACTGCAAACTCCGGGACACCAAACTTTATTCTGGGAATCAAAGTCTCCATGGAAGGTGTGGGTTTGTGTTATTTTAAGTACCACAGCTATTGATGCATCGTGATCATGTGGCAGGGAGAGATGGGATATTGGGAAGGAATTCCTGGCTGGGAGGGTGGGGAGGGACTAGGATGGAATTCCCAGAGAAGTTGTGGCTGCCCCTGGATCCCTGGAAGTGTCCAAGGCCAGGTTGGAGCAACCTGGACTAGTGGAAGGTTTCCTGCCTGTGGATGGGATGGGATAAACTTTAAGATCCCTTCCCACATAAACCATTCCATGCTTCTACACTATCCAAGTAAAAAACTAAAAATGCTCCAGAAATAAAAGGGCACAAATCAACAGCACACATTTAAATACCTGAAAAGTTAAGTTTCAAACCAGAGACCACAATTCAGGACACTAAAACTGGCCCTCACAACATGGAGCACAATTTTTTTTTTAACCTTTAAAGACTGCCTGTAGCAGCCTCATTTTCCCCAGTGTGTAAATCACCAGCAGAAACATTCCCGCTTTCAGGAACGCATTGTAAATGAAAAAGCACAAAGATGATAAAGAGAGCAGCTGATCCTGCACCCAGAGCTCAGCTGGGAACAGGCTGCTCCTCCAGTACCTGCTTTCTGCCCAGGGGTGGCTGAGCCCAAGCTCTGGTTGGCCGGGAGGCGGGAGGGGGTTCCTGGGAATGCAGCAGCAGGATCCACACTCAGAGTACTCTGGATTAACGGGACACAGACCTGCAAAGAGATCACACCTCAGGGACAGTGGCTGGAACACACCCACAGAAACATCACACAGTGCTGCTGAGCACTTTTTCCCCCCTTCTTTACTCCCATCCTGATGTTTAATTTAATGAAATTCAGGTGTTGGATACAAACATTAAGTTCATTGCAGTTACAATGTGACCAGTAATTAAACACCAGGATCATTCTTCCTTCCACCTTCCTAAATATTTTGTGGTCTTTCCATAATTTCCTATGGCACAATTTCCAAAGGACACACTCTGTTGGTGAAAGGGCAAAGCAACCCTTAAATAACGTGCTTATGCTCCCTGTTGTGCAGTCACTGGACACTTCCAGAGATGCTCCCAGGACTTTCAGACAGGGCCACAGATCTTTTGGAATCTGAAGTTCCAAGGGCACATTTAATCCCAAGTATTTCTGGTGTACTATATAGAATATACACACACAGAGAGCACAGAAATATGAAGTCAAATCTGGTTCCTTAAGGCACTTCTACTTCCTAAGATAAAACCAGATAAGCTAAATATAAATCAAATAAACTAGAGGAGGATGAAGCAGGCAGGAATATGTCAGAGTAACCAGCACTGCTCCCAGCTGTGTTACCTGTTCAAAGTTTGAGGGCAGGTGAGTTCCCAGCCTCACCAGTAAATACCACCAGACCTCCAGCTTGGTGAGTGCCAGAGCCTCTGTTCTCACGTGGATGGAGCTCAGGGGCTGCATCAGCAGCTTCAGCCTCTTAGCACTGCACAGGATATCTGCCAGAACAGAAAGGTGCACTTGAATCGACACCAATAATTAAACCACGGGGCAAGAAAAAGAAAGAAATTCAACCAATAGGGGTTTTCAGCTTAAAATTTAATGAATGACAATGTGCAGAACTAAAAAATACAGTAAATGCACCGAGCTTTCAGACTGTCTAACTGCTCTAATTGTTGACTACAACAACCCTGGAAATACAAGTGTTTCTCACCAATACTAAAGTCAAATCTAGTGAATTCCAAAAAAACTAGAGGCAAATTCACTCTTGTTTGACATGGTTGTGCACTGGCACTGGGTGAGAAGGAAGGAGCTGAGCCTGCCAGGGATCATTTGCCACTGAAAATGGCCCAGCAGGGCTGGACAGACCTTTGCTCAAGTCTGTATAAGTGCTGAAGGATGAGGAAAAACCTGTGCCCAGCTCAGCAGCAGCAGAACCTGCCCCTCTGCAATGCCCAGCAGCTGCTCCTGCTCCTGGAAATCCTGGACAGCCAACACCAGTTGGGCCAGGGATTTCATCCTCCCACAGAACAGGAACTTTTAATTAATTTAGGTGAAATAATGGTCAGAACAAACAAGAAGAAACACGATAAAATGGTAAAGATAAATTCAGCTAAACTAAGGAATGTGCACCATTAGTTTTCTCTTCAGAACACAAGATAAAAACCAAAATATTCTGTGCTTTGACACAGACTGGACTTACAACTTGTTCAGGTCTCAGTTATACCTTTAAAGCAACTTTTTTAACACCTCTAGAATGCTGAAGCACTGCCCTTCTCCAGTGAATCCACCCAAAATAAAACATGCAGAATGCCTTATTCTCTATTTCACTGCTGGTTGAATCAGTTAAAGCATCACAAACCAAATGCAATATTATTCCATTCCAATCAGTCCCAGTAGAAAAATTAAGGCAGAACAAACAATCAAACTGTCCCTTTGCCTTAAAAATAAAACAAAACAAGAAAAAAAAAAACAACAACAAAGAAACCCAACAACTTGAATGTTATTTCTGTCTATCCCACCACGTGTTTGTGTACACCACAGACACACTATGTGGGAATATTCTACTCCAGTTATGGAAGGTGACAGTGAGCAAAATAATTCAAGGTAATTTTTGTTTTAAATCTACCTGGGTTTAGAGCAAAATTATCTATGAGACTCTTCCATGCAATGAAGGCGATCTTCTTCACCACTGGGGAGCCACTCCGAAAGCCAAGTTCCTCCAGCTGCAGCAGGGAGTTGATGAAACTCCCGCTACGATGAAGAGTCTGGGGAGGAAAGAGTTCAAAATTAAAGTATTTTACTGCTGGTAAAAACTCCTTTCCTGAAGATTCATAATTGTAGAGCTTGCTATTTTGCTGCTCACCTTTCCAAGCAGTTTGACGAACAGCGGCCACAACTTCAGCACGAAGGTCTCGTTTTTGGTGGAGAACAATTTCTGCAGCTCAGAAATCAACTTCTGCAGGCAGAAAGGAACAGCATTTCTACAAGAAATATGTATTTAAAATATCCTAACAGCTACCTCCTCGTGCCCATTTCGAGGAGGAAGCTAAGCTGGACAATATGAGTCACTGCCACACTGAGTTTGGTGAGCAAATTGTCTTGCAGAGACAACAGAAGTTTAACAGCATTTTTGAGTTAATGCTGTTGAGACCGGTGCTTAAAGGTCATTTATTTTCCTGATTAACGATTCCTGTTCAGACACATTGTTTTTTACAGTGCTCCTGTATTTACACTGCTGTTACAATACTTTTTTCCATTAAAGCCACAGTCATCAAGAGGCTGCTGTCAATAGTTTTGCTGCCATTATGTAGACTGTGAATAAAATTAAACATAAAATTGCAACCAGCCAACCCCCCCAGTCACTCCTGCTGCTGCCTGCAGCATTCCCCCAGCATCCCCACTCACTGTGGTCATGAGGTGCTCGGTGACAGCTGCCACCTCCTGCTGTTTCTGCAGGAGCAGTGGCATTCCCATCTCCAGGGCAGTGGCCCCTCGCAGCTGCACCTTGTGAGCCGAGTGGACAACCAGAGGGATGATGAGCTTTGCCCACCTCACAGCCTCCTCTGCCATCTGGGCTGGGCTTTGCTCCATCAGGCTGCATCCAGAGAACAAACACAGGGATTACAAACCTCCAGCAGACTGTTCAGGCAACCAAATTATCTCTGTAGTATCAGTAAACTCTCTAATTCAACATATGGTTTATAGGGAACCATTCTAAACTTCCCCAAGTTCTTTTCCAAGCAGCTGTGTTTGGACAGTTCATTTCAAACTGCAAAGCTCCAGTGCTATCTTAGACAAACCTCTCCCAAAACACAACATTTGCAGCTGCCCTTTCTGCTCTGTCACAGCCATGGGGGCCAAGGAGCTGAACAAGAGCCTGGAGGGACATTCCTTATCAATGCCCAATCCAAGGCTTGTCCAGGAATCAGCCCTGGGTGTTCCCAGCAGCCCAGGCAGCTCCCACACCCTCAGTGCTGCCAACAACACAGGCCTGCTCCTGGAAAGCTGCAGTTCTGCTCACACTCCATCCATGCACATCACCCTCCTCCAGAGCTCTGGTTTCATCCTCCTGTTCCAAAGCTGCTGGAGTTCTGACAATGCTGGAGCTCTGACAAACAATTCCAAGTGTTTACACCATCTCACAAGAGCCAACAGGACATTCAGAAATGGGAAGACCATGGCACACACCCAATCCAGCCTGGAGGAACCAGCTTGTCTCCAGAAATCCTGGAATTTTGGCAAAAAGTGGCCCCTTTGACCCAGGTAAGTCAAAACCATCCCTCCTGCAGCTTCCCAAAGGGAAAATTGCTGCCTTTCAAGGAACTGTATTGAAGCCAGAGGACAAGCACTGTTTAAAAGAACTATCTCACTTTAAAATGGATTTGCAGTTTAAATCAGCCAAAGTTCAAGAGAATACTTAAAGATCCAAGCTCAACACATCTACTGATACAGAAATTAAATTAATACTGATTTGAATATTCTAACACTGCTGACCAAGACAATGCACTGTGTTGGTCCCACAGAGCCACCTTTGGAATTAAACAGGAACCTGCACAGTGTTGTGAGAAACCCTGCAGGAAGATGTGGGAAGCACCAAGGGGACACTGTTTCAATAAAGCCCCTGTAATGGGGGACAATTTCTCAGCCAGGTAAGCTCTGAAAACAAAATGTGACTGAAGCAGACTTGAGACTTTAGAAATGATTCCTAACAAGCTTTCCTTTAAAAATGAAAGCAAGACTTTCAGCTGAACACTGCCTGATTTGTGCAAAGGAACTGTCCTGGTATCATGAAGGCAGCTGTTTGCAATTATAATGACACACAAAGCAAGTGATGCACAGTGGAATTGCCTCCACCCCCTGGCCAGCTTTTCCAAGTTTACATCTGGGCACGATGCCCCATCCCATGGAATATCCCATGTCCCTCTCAGCCTTTTGTGTCCCCCAGCCCCTCACTGGTGAGGTGAGAACCTGCCAAGTCCTTGACTGGGGGCAAACACTGCCCAGCACCACCCAAAACAGCCCTGTGTTATCATCACTGTTCTCATCCCAAACCCAAAACAACTGCACCAGCCACCAGGAAGAGAATTACCTCTGTCCCAGTCAAAACTGCAGGAAAACAGTCCTGAACATACTGGACAATTCAAAGAGTATTAAAAATGTTTACTTTGGTATATTTAGTGCCATTAAGGGTTTGTTTATCACGAGTTTGCCCCTCAAATGAAGCACCTCCTTTAACAGTTGAATATTGAGAGCACTCACCGTATGATGACATTAAGTGCTTCATATTCAACCACAACAGACTGCACATCCCCTTTGGTAAGGATTGTCTCCAGGGTAGACAGAATACTGGACACCTGAGGGAACAAGAGAACATCAGACTGAGCACCTGGATGCCAATAACTCCACGGGAAACTGAAATTATGGCATTCCATTTTCCAGGACTCTGTTTGGATTAGGTTAGGTCTCTGGCTCTGAGCAAACTGGAATATTCAGAACACTTTTCCCTGTTTTACTGGTTTCTGACAGAACTGCTGTCATTGCAGCTTCTCCTCTGAGGGAAGCAATAACTTCTGGCTCCATTTTTCCAAGAACTTTGGCTGTGAAATCTGATGGAAAATGTCCTTAAGATTCTAAAGCGGACAAATGGAAAAGTGGACAGCGACCAAGAGACTGCACAAGTCCCATCTCCCTGGCAAATCAAGCCAGCAAAAAAAGAAAAAGAGGAAAAACTCACCTCCTTTTGGACAATTTCAGGAGGAAAGGCCTGCTTAGAGATGACCCAAAGTGCCCGAGTGCGAGTGTTTTTGTCCGAAGATGTCACAGCCACGCCGTTCACCGCCGACAGCAAGTCCTGCATTTCAGCGGCTGAAAGCACAACAAACACCTGAGTTCCAGGTCGTTCTGCTCACTTAACACTGCTAAAGATCTGTTCATTGACAAGTATCAGTGATTTCATGCCTCAAACATTACGTTTTTGGGCAGTTTCTCTCAGAATAAAGTAGCAAAAAAAGCTCCGAATGTATCAGTAGATATTGGCTTTGGAAGAATTCACAAAACCATAAAACTTGAAGGCAGCTTTAGAGGTTTTTTTTAGAGCTAAAAATTAAGTATTTAACTCTTCAAAACTTCTTGGATTTCCAGTGAATTTAGCAGCACTGCTATATGGACATAAATAAATTCATTTTAGGGTCTACAAGAGGTTTTGTCATTAAAGAAGGGGGTAAAACTGTAACTCAGTAGACAGAAATTAATGAGGTTAAACAGGACATGTAACCAGGAGGACTGATGAAGAAAACTTGTATTCCTTTAAAATTCCAAACTACTGAAGTCTGATTTATTACAAGTCTGGGCTCAGTGGGCAAATGATCTCAAAAGCAGAGAAACTTCAGGGCAAATAGGCAGCTTTTCTCAATCAGAAGTGCACACAGAAGCTGTTTGTCCTCATTCCTAACTCTCCATTGTTCTCAGGAGTTCATTATTTCTGGAGCCCGACATTCCCTAACAAAACGAACTGTAATTTATCATCCAGTTAAAAAATGTTTCAAAGGAAAGTGAGTTATGAGGGAAAAGAGAGGGACCACACAGGCATTATTAAGATGCCTCATTCTCAGAGGAGATCAGGGTAAAAATTTGGGATAACAGGAAAGCAGAGCACACTGAAAACTGAGTAGGAGAACCAAAAGAACCCATTCCAGGATGGCAGAGTCACAGGAAAAATGCCCTCTGCACCCACACACACACACAGATGGTTTAGGTCAGTCTTGCCTGAGGTTGAGCTTCTCTCTAGCAAAGGTCATTCCAGAACATTTTTCCAAGAGCATTTACCACTCCCCAGGAGAAGGAAAAAGACAATAACTGACTGTGTACAATTTACTCTTTATATTTAAGCATCACCACACGCTCCCACACAACAGCCACAATTCCTTGTGTGCCCCCAGAAAACAACCCTGTTCCACCACCACACAGGTGACACCGAGCAGCTCCCACCTGAGCTATTCCAACTGGACATGCCCAACCCCTGGAATGTGCAGCAGGGAGTGCTGGACATCTGCCCTGTTCCCAACCCCTGTGTGCTTTCACCTGGATGCAAAGGCTCGAGTTCTCAGCAGCCAAACCTCTGCTGAAGGGGGTTCAGCACTTTCTGGGAATGCAGGTCATAAGATCCTGGATTACTCTGGATTAGTTCCATTTGAAATACCTGCCAGCCCGACATTTGGGGCTGCACTAGGTGACCTTTAATGGTCCCTTCACACTCAAACCACTCTGTGATTTAACAACCAGGAACTGCCAGGTAGGAGTGGAAAACATGGAAGAGCACTACTATGCACACCCAAATTCTACAGATTGCCTCTTCACTCTTTTTCTACCTGGACTTTTGATCACTGATTTCACAAACATCCTTTTGGATTTCCTTTTTTGACTGCTAATTCTATAAAAGTATTTACAGAATGCAATTGCTACCAAAGCATTTAGTGAAATCAGAACTTAGCAAAACAGAATCAGTGTTAGAGCACGAAAAAACACCACCTTCTTTAGGCACAAGATGGAATCAGTGAACTATTCACACTGCTCACATCAGAGACAAAGCCACTGCACCACTTGGGAACTGCAAACCTGGTCAAAACTGAAATAAATGCCAAGACAGACAAAGAAGGAGCTCCGTGTATGTATTTACACACACAGCTTTGTTTGCTTACCAGATAACTCAGCTGTATTAGCTGAATTAAAAGTGCAGAATCCCAAGGCCTGCAATGCTGCATTACTGAGCTCCAAGTTTGGGCTGGAAATGTGTGCCTGGAAGAAGAACACAAACCCACAAAGTCTCAGGTTCCAGAAGCAGCTGAGAAATATTGTCTTAGTTGTCTGAACACCAGCAAACACTTGGTGGGAAATGCACCCCTGGTTCCAGAAACTCCAAATCCACAGGACAATCTGAGGTGCTGAAGACACTTTTGCTCTCTGTATTTAGACACCTTTCCTAAAGTAAATTCTAAACACCCCAAGTCCTTTACTTTGGTTATGTATGTTATGGTCTATCACTGCACTCTCCAAGTGTTTTTAAACACCTAAACCACAAGTTAAAAATGGTCAGGGTCTTGACATTAATCTTCCAAAATCCTGCGAATTGTGAAGTGTTTCTAGAGGCAGCCACAGCACAGTGTGTCTCTGCTGGCTGGAAGATGGGATTTGTGTGTGTGATGCTGCCTGAACACATCCAAGACCCTGATTTCCTGGTTTTCCTCTAGAAATTCCTCACAATATGGAATACACATTTTGCCAACAAACCCTTAGTGCTCTGCCTCCAGCTGGCACTCCCACTAAAGCTTGCACTCTGTGATCTTGGGAGTCTTTTCCAAACCCAATGATCCCATAACTGGACCCAAATCTGAGCCTTACAATGCCTGCTGACCTCGCCCACCCAAACATCTTTGTTCACTCAAGTGCAGAGAACAGAATAGAAAAAAAAAACCTACCTTAAACACCTTGCAGAGTTGAGGAAAGTGTTTTCTGACATCTGCACTGAATGCTTTGCCTCCTTCACCACTCAGGCGACTTTCAGGAGCAGAAGGGAAAACAAACAGTATTTACAAAACATAACCGACATAACTTTCCATTTCTGAGGCACATTAGCCTGGATGTTTTCCTTGAAGGAAACAAACACAACACTGGAGAAGTTAAACGGCAAAAATGTCACTCACAACATGACCCAGCAGTAAAAGACTGTGTTATAGTACAAAAGTGATTAATGACCCATTTAGTGCTTAAAGAGTATTAAAAAAAAAAAATCAAGGCCTTTCAGTTCTTTGTCAGCTTTAAAAGTTAACACCCAAACTTTAAATGACTGCTGAAAAGTTACATTTAACAGAAATCTATGGGCTTAAAAAGCACACTCCTCATAACCAGCTCCAGAATTCAGGCTCCCAACCCCAGGAAAATCCTGGCTTGACAACAAGCAAGGGTGACTTTGCACATATGTGAAGAACATCCACACAGGGAATCTGTAATTGTCCTATGAAATGTTAACAATCAGTTTCCCAGAGCAAAAATCCATCCACAACAAGTTCAGTCATCCTGGGGACAACTTGAGAAACCTGATGGGATTTTTAAGGATTAAGTCAGGACTTTTTTTTTTTCTTTTAATGTCAGTTTTTACTGAAAAGTTGTAAAAACTGGTATCTGAGTAATTACAGCTCTGAAAATCACTACAGAACTGCACGGCAGGAACCCACGGGAGACATTGATGGGCAGAGATGGTGACTCTGCACACGATAAAATGGGAAAGATGCAGGTGAAGGCAGGACCTGGTGGTGAAGAAACACCTTCCGGAAAGACACGCGATTAAACCAAGGCGCGATCACTCCAAAACCCGAGAAACACAACGAAAACCTCACCTCTCCAATCACAGAGCTGAAATGCAGGCCTTTTTTTTTTTTTTCCATTAAAAAAAATATAAAGTTATCATTTCCCAATATTCCCGCACCCACCTCTGCAGATTCCCCTGGAAACGCGGGAGGGGAGGGAGGTTCTGGGATGCTCAGAGCTTGTTAAGGTCAACGAGTTCCTTCCTCCCTCCATCCTCCCTTCCTTCCCTTTCCCCATCCTCCGTTCCTTCTCTCCTCTTCCTTCAATCCTTTCTTCGCTCCTTTCCTCGAAGGAAGGAGACATCCACCCATCCATCCTTGCTTCCTTCCATCCATCCATCCATCCATCCTTCCTTCCTTCCTTCCCCTCCCTCTCTCCTCCCTCAGCCCCGCGTGTCTCCCGCGGTCTCCCCCCCGCGGCCCCGCCGCTCCCAGCCCTTCCTCCCTCATTCCAGCCGGGGCCGGCGCTCCCCCGGCCCTGCCTCTCCTCCCCGCGGGTCAGGCCGTGCCTCGGCCCTGCCGGGTCTCTCTTTCTCTCTCTCTCCCCCCCTGCCCGGCCGGTCCCCTCAGGATCTGCGCACGTGCCCCCCGCGCCCACCTGACGATGGTGAGGTGCGCGTCCGTGAGCTCTCCCGGCGGGGCGGCGGGGTCCTGCAGGGTGTGCAGCAGCGGGGCGAGGCTGGGGCCGGCGCGGGCGGTGTCGGGGGCGCTCAGGGTGGCGGTGGCGGTGTCCGGGGCGCTCAGGGTGGCGGTGTCCGGGGCGCTCATGGTGCTGGTGGCGGCGGTGGCGGCGGCGCCTCCGCCCCGCGCGCCTCCCGCGCTAAGATGGCGGCGCGCGCGGGCCCGGCGGAGCGCGCGGGCCCCGGCCAATGGCAGCGCGGAGGAGCCGTTCCCGCGCCCCGCGGAGGCCCCGCCCCTCGCCGCTGATTGGCGGGGGCGCGGCGGGAGGGGCGGGGCGAGGGGCGGGGTCTCCTCCGCGCTGAGGGCTCTCGGTCCCCGCCGCCCCCCCCTCAGCCCACACGGTGGGATCGCGGGATATCCCCGGGATTCTCCCACAGGGATCACCCAGTCCGGCCCCCGTCCCGCCCGGGACACCCCGGCAATCCCACCCTGTGCCCCAGAGGATCATCCCAACCCTCCTGCAGCTCTGGCAGCCTTGGGGCTGTGCCCACTGCCCTGGGGAGCCTGTTCAGTGCCAACCACCCTCTGGGGGAAGAACCTTTCCCTGAGATCCACCCTGAGCCTGCCCTGGCACAGCTCCAGCCATTCACTGGGGGCTGTCCCTGCTCACACAGAGCTGCCCCCCCACGGCCCCTCATGCAGACCCCGATTGAGGTCAAATCATTAATTAATGGCTGGATATCAACCTTCCAGCCGGGCTCCAGCTCCACAAAAACCTGCCGGCATCACCCGGAATTCCCTGAGCACAGGGTGATGATGGAGGTGACACCTGTGGGCTACAGGGGTGCCTGGGAGTGAAACAGGAAATACCAGGGCTGGCAGCGAATCCAAAGTGTGGAGAATCCCTGTTTTTCAGGGATAGAGAGAGGCCTGAGCAGTCACGCCAATGGCTGAGCCTTCCTCACTCACCTGCGCTGGCGATGCCCAGCAGGAGGGACTGTCCTGGAAAAAGTCTCTTCCCAAAATCCTGCCCCCCCTCTGGCTCCACGAAGATCTCCAGACAGGCAGGTGTTCCCTGTTCACCCCTGGATCTGATCCCTGTCAATTCGAGATCTGTTGCTTCTCCGTTAAAGGAAGAACAACAAACCCCCCAAACTGTAAAAAATTACCCCGGGTCATAAATAAAATGTTAACAATTCCCTTCGTGCTTTTTCTTGTTCTGTTCCTCGTTAACGAGCCCTACCTTGGAGAACTGGAGTGGCATTTTATGTCTGTGAACACAAGGTGGCAGGATTAAAAAGCAGATTTTAGGTACGGCTACATCCCATCAATGCAGGGATACAGAACTGGTTTCCTGACGGAGCAGGAATAAAGTGTTGGAAATAACCAGAACGTTGTTCTCCAGTACAGCCAAGAAGCAGGATCGTATCCTCCCTGAAATTACAGCAATAAAAGCTTAAAAAATGTAATAAATTCAAAGAACTGGGAATTAAGATTAAATAAAGCCCAGATAGGTTTGATTAGCTCGAGATCCACCTCGTGGAAACTGTTTCCCGAGGGATTCACAATGCTCCAAAAAAAAAGCAATTCACAGGAAGATTTTCAGTGGACATTAGATGTGGGGTCAAAAAAACACTCACGAACTCTTAAAACTTATTTCCTGCTTTAAATCAAGAAAATGTGCCAAAGTCTGGTAAAGAAATAAGAATAATTCATTGCAAACTCAGGACGGGATGAAAACAGAGGTAGCTTTAATGCTGCTTCAGACTGAAGTTAAAAACACGTGGAGAATGATTGAAATTGGTCAATTTAAACCAGAACAGTCTCAAACCCGTGTAAACAACAGCAACACATCAACAGTGTCTTCAGAACGTGCCAGGAACTCCGGGAGTGATTCCTCCTGATGCTTCATCCCACCAGTTTTATTCTTTATTCCAAAATTGCCCATTTGATTCTTTTTGCTGGAATCAGAGAGGTGGAAGCACTTTAATATCTCTTCTCTGGGTGAGGAAGCCTGACAAAAATCCATCCATCTCACACCACAGTCGTGATGTTGGGAGGATTGATCCCGTGCTCTTCGTGCCGCCCATAAAATCAATTTACGTGTCTTAAAAATCACCTTATTCTAAAGGCCCTTCGAGTTCAAGGAAATCAGTCAATTAAATGAATGATAATATGGGGAGAACAGGAAAAAAAAAAACCCAAAGCAACAGTCTAAAAAATAAATATGTAGAAATCAAGAAAAATATGGAGAGGACAGCCTGTTAAATTTAAACATAAGTGAAACAGTGACACAAAAGGTTTGATCAAACAGTACAAGAAATGAGGAGAAGGAGCAGTTTGTATACAAAAATAATTTTTAAATCTTTGCCGACAGATTTTTACAGTACTCGTATCCTAAAAAATAGTTTTCTATTATTCACGTTAAGTACATCTTATAATTTATTTCCTAGTCTAGTTTATTAACAAAACCTGTAGAAAAGCAGGAAATAAAAAGTCAGGAAGAGATGACCGAAACTTCAGATGTCTGCAGGCACAGATATCTGGATTGGGTTCGTTCTGAGACGCGCTTCTTGACGTGGTTCTGGTCCCTCTGCTCACAGGACGCCGAATTTTCCGGAGAAGTAGTTTGTTTTCCCGGGGGATGTTGCATTCCTTGCATCCCCTGCCCTGGGAGGCGTGTCCAGGGTGGTGTATCGAATCTGGAACCCACCCGCAGTCACCGAGGCATCTGTCAGAAACTTCAAGGTCATGACGTTGCCTGAGAGGAGACAAAGAAAAATAAACTTACATTTTGGGTGGCATAAAAAATGTGATATTTCAGGGTGGGTTTTTTTTGGTTTTTAAGTGCCCTTTGTTGCTGAAATTCTGAGGTTTTCCCAGCAATCCACCTGCTCCAGTGGGAGGTGTCCCTGCCCATGGCAGGGCTGGAACGAGATGGGCTTTAAAGGTCCCTTCCAACCCAAACCATTCATTCCAGGTCTCTGTGATGTCAGGAATTCCATTTTCCTATGTAAGGGCAGCGGGAGGCACCTCAGTACCCTCGAAAATTGGGCTGATTGACATTTATTTAGAAGGAATTGTGTTTGGGTTTTTTTTTAGCAGAAATAAATTACCTGTGCTGATGATGTCATCGGGCAACTCATCTCCACAAAACCTGGGAAAAGATAGGAATGCTCCAGGTTAAAGGATACAGGGATTGTGGCACAGAACCTGCTCTGAGCTGGGGCTCCCAGGCTCTGCTTTTCTTGGGGATCAAGGCAATAAATTGGTTTTAGGTTTTCAGTGTGTGTGATTTTATCTTAAATCTACTGCCTAAAGAATTTTTGAACTTTATCCCACAGTAAAGTTTAGAGGAGGGAAAAATGCAGGAAAAAAATTCTCAATATATTCAGGAAGAAAATGATGCAAGACAAGAAAAAGAGGAATTTAACAAGGCATTAAGGAGAAGAACAGCGGCCCAAGGCTAAGAAAGGAAGAATACTGTCAGAAAAATAAACATTTAAAATTATGTGTAAAAGCAAAACAAACAGAATATCCTTGCTTTGCTACACATGATCTGTAGGGAGGGTGTGAAAAGTAGCATTAAAAGTGCCTTTTATCACTTTTAATGGTTTGGTTTTTGGTTTGTTTTGTACAGTCCCTGTACTGGAAAATCGAGGTATTTCACACCTAAACATGACTTATAAAGGTTAAGTGAAAGTATGACGTTGAAGAAAGTGAGAATGAAGCAAAGAAGGACTTAAATCTAATAAGAGAGATGAAATATAACACTTATTCTGGTATTAGCTAATGCTTCACTTCTGTAGCAAAGAGTAACTTAAATTAAATATATTTTTCCTATTTTAACACCTTGCCTCCCTCCTTTCAGTTAAAGCAAACACAAAATGCTGTTTGAGATTCCGAAGAGTCCTTCCTGGGAAATCCTGGAGGACTGGGATAAGCAGCTGACTAAAAAGTCTTGCAGCTTTCTTTCATCTGGTTAAACAAAGTGAAAAAAGGGCAAAGCTCCATTCCCTGAAACTCTTAACAGGCCTGTCTTAATAATATTAAAGTAAATTGGGAAGATTAAAGCAAAGGAAAGATAAATCAGGTATTATTGCTGCAGGAATTATGGACAACTCAGCAGTGCTGGATGAGGGATACAGTGTCCTTCTGAAATTCTAGGGGGAAAAAATTAATAATATATTTGCATATTGAAGCTGGATTTGCTTTACCTGCCCACGAAGCCATTGACATCGTCATAGCTGTCGTAGATTTCCAGGAAATCCGCCATGCAGGCAACGTCATCTTCCACGTCGAACTCCAGGAACTGCAGGTGGATCCTCTGGCCGTACTTGACTCGGATGTGCCAGTAGCAAATCTGCTCGTTTTCGTACTCATTCGGGTACCCTGGGGACTTAAACACGTGCCTGGAATCGGTGAAGACTCCCCCACACTCCTTTCCTGAGAGGGAAATGAAAACATCACAGTTTGGGTATTCCTTCTGACTACGGCTGTGGGTTGGGTCTTTGGGCACTTCGACCTGGCAGATCCATAAAAAAATCCCACAGGAACATCCAGAGTGACAGAACTTCAGCACTTGGTGAGTGTCAGTCATTCCCAGCTTTTGGGAGAAGATATTTTGGAAGCAAGAGGTGAGAGCCCTGAACTCAGAGGCAAAGCTTTGATTGACTGCAGTGGACTCGGGGCCAGGGCTTTGTGTGTTTTATGTCAAAGGCATTTGGGATTTCTGCCTCTTTCAGGCTTTACAGCTGGACTTGCACATCACCCTGACTCTCATTTTCAGCCTTTCTTCTCCAAAAAAAACCTCTGCAAAGAGGCTTTCTGCAAAAAGCCTTCTGAAGGCTGGTGGTCACACCCATGGTGGTGTGCTCCTGTTGTTCCTGCAGCCCTGCACTCCCTTTGGGAGGAAAACACTTGTTCCAGTTTGATTTGGGCTCCAGTAGCTGGAATGCTGCCCCCAGCTCTGGGGCTGCAGCACAAGAAAGATGTGGAGCTGCTGGAGAGAGTCCAGAGGAGCCCATGGAGATGCTCCAGGGCTGGATCCCTCTGCTCTGGAGCCAGGCTGGGAGAGCTGGGGGGTTCTCCTGGAGAAGAGAAGGCTCCAGGGAGACCTGAGAGCCCCTTGCAGGGCCTAAAGGGGCTCCAGGAGAGCTGGAGAGGGACTGGGGACAAGGCATGGAGGGACAGGACACAGGGAATGGCTTCCCACTGCCAGAGGGCAGGGAGAGATGGGAGATTGGGAAGGAATTGCTGGCTGGGAGGGTGGGCAGGCCCTGGCACAGGTTGGGCAGAGAAGCTGTGGCTGCCCCTGGATCCCTGGAAGTGTCCAAGGCCAGGTTGGATTTGGAGCAACCTGTGCTAGTGGAAGGTGTCCCTGCCCAGGGCAGGGGCTTGGACTGGATGATCTTTAATGTCCCTTCCCACCCAAACCACTCTGGAATTCTGGGATTCCACGATCACTGCTGGGTGGGACGCACATTTCAAACATCAAAGAGCCCCACAAGTTCCTCCTCAGGTGACACTTTCAGCATCCTGGAGCAGAGCACAGGCTCAGTTCAACCAGAGGTTTGTCTTTGCTCCCCTGGCCCCTCAGCTGCTCCTGCAGACACCCCCACCAGGCTGTGCAGAGCGTGAGCAGCAATCCTGGGCATGGGAGAGGCTGAAGCTCTGCTGTGCTGGCAGCTCTGGTTTCCTTTTGTCCTCTGCCCAAACAGTGTTTGGCCAGTAACTCCCTCCTGGCCCAGAGCAGAGGCTGATGAGGAGAAGGTCAGGCTCACATGCTGTAATTCCGAGTGCAGGAGTCTCCCCTTGGATGTGGAACATCTGGGAACGGCCCCCACCCCGCAGAGCTATTTGATGAGCGTAAACAAGCGCAGGCCCTGTGAGCACAAACAAAGCGTGCACAGCTGTGCAGACGTCATGGAAACTCCAGTCTGGCTGTGCCAGGCATGGCAGGACACTGGGAGCAGGGGGACAGCCAGGTTAGGCTCTGCTTTCCTTCCTGCTGCCTGCTTTTTCCAGCTTCCATGCTACACGAGGTGATGCCAAGCTAATCTGTAACACAGTGGCCCTGTGGATGTTTGAGTCACCTCCTGGGGTGAGGTCTTGTCACTCACGTTTATCACATCTCCAGATCTGCTCTGGAGATTCATTTTTCTCCATCTCGTTACAGACACACGCACAAGGCACTGCTGGCATCTGGATCTGTCAGGGTTGCAGTCAGAGGATCATGGAATCACAGAATGGTTTGTGCTGGAAGGGACCTTAAAGCCCATCCAGTTCCAACCCCCAACACCTTCCACCAGCCCAGGGTGCTCCAACCTGGCCTTGGACACTTCCAGGGATCCAGGGGCAGCCACAGCTTCTCTGGCCAACCTGTGCCAGGCCCTCATCACCCTCCCACCAGTAATTCCTTCCTAAGAGAAATTCCTAAGGTGCCAGTCCCGGACATGACATTCGTTTTCAGAACCTTTCCCGTCTCAGCCACAAAAAAGAAGGAATAAGAGTTTAACACTGAATTAAACTTATCCACAGGAAAAATACCTGGGAAATGGTTCCCATTTGAAACACCTCAGATTGCTGAAATGAAAGTGGAGGTTGAGCAGGACAGAGCCAGGGGCTGCTCTGCACTCACCGTGGGGGTTGTAGCAGTAGGCGTCCCACCTCTCGCTGCGGTTGAGGCGAATCCCGTAGTCAACAATTCCGGTCTTCCCAAAGCCACAGTTGGCTCCAGCTTTTACTATGGGATAACCAACCCTGCCCTTGGCCATCCAGCCAGCAGCACACACGTGGAAACCTGCAGCAGGGAGAGGAAAATGCCACATGGACGGGATCAATCAGTCCCAGGCCAGGAACGCTGCTTGTCCTTCAGCTAAGTCTTACTCAGGCTGATGACTCAGCGACCTGGGTGTAATTGGCCTGGTAGAAATTGAGCTCCAGGAAAGAACAGGACTTTGAGAGGATCATTTTAAACACAGAGTATAAAATTGCATTGTGTTCTCCACGGTGTCATTACCGGGACTTCGTTTGAGGATGAAAATCAAACACAGATGGGCTGCAGAGTTGCCCAAGCAGTCAGCCTGAAGTGCTCTACCAGCACTTGTAATCAAATTATACACTGGATGAGTTGTCTAAGTGTGCTCTTTGTTTCCCTTTTGAAGTCACACAAATTTACTCAATCAGATCTGAGGAGTCCCCAGCGAGGAGTTCTGAGCATGAATAAAACACTCCATACAAAACACGGCTAAACCCCTGCAGTATTCATTTAAAACGCTTTCAATTTAAATTTAAATACCTGGGATGCATCAAGCACTTCTTGCCAAACTGAAAGACCCTGTTAATGCATTTTGGGGCTGAGAACTTAAACCCAGTAGGCAAAGAATGCAACGTTGTTCCCTGGCTGGTGGAGACCAATCCAGTGCTTGCACTGAGAGGAAATGGGAACATATTTGTGGCATCTTTGGGCTCTGAGCTGCTCAGAGAGACAAAAGCACCCCTTTCACATGTATGCTGGTGCTGAGAGCCAGTTCTGATTCAACAGCAGAGCAAGAAAATGTCTGGAGTGGGGAGGGTATTTTCCATTGTTTTCCCAATGCTCTGAATGAGTGGATAATTTCTTATTAGGAATCAACTAGAAATACAGTGGAGCCCTCACTCAGCTCCACTTTTTACTCCAAGAACACACAACTCACTTTCTCCCAGAGCAAATATGGCTGGAATAAAAATCTTGATGAAAACAAGAGCTTGACCTGTTGGAATGATTCCAGAGGAGGCCATGGAGCCGCTCCAAGGGCTGGAGCTCCTCTGCTCTGGAGCCAGGCTGGGAGAGCTGGGGGGATTCACCTGGAGAAGAGAAGGCTCCAGGGACACCTGAGAGCCCCTTGCAGGGCCTGAAGGGGCTCCAGGAGAGCTGGAGAGGGACTGGGGACAAGGCATGGAGGGACAGGACACAGGGAATGGCTTTGGGCTGAAGGAGGGTTGTTTTAGATGGGATATTGGGAAGGAATTCCTGGCTGGGAGGGTGGTGAGGCCCTGGCACCGGTCACACTCCAGTTACCAAGGTGGGAAACTGGAAGCAACCTGAGCAAAAATCCAGGGATTTCCACATCAGTCAGTGCCCGAGTTCACAACAGACACCCCAATCCACAACTGCCAACCCCGAAGGAGGGCTGTGAGAAGCCAAGTGCCGGGAGTTTTCCATGATTTTTTCCATACCTATTTTCCGGGCCGCCTCCAGCTGCTGGTACGTGGCCAGGTGTCCTCCCTCGTACTCGCACACGGCCTTGGCCTCGGCGTAGGTGAGCCGGTACTTCCCGGAGCGCGATTCCCGGTGGTACACGCCGGCTGCCCGCTCTGTGGGAACGAGGGCAGGGGAACATGGATTCACATGGATGCCACATCTCGGCCCTCCCACCTCCAGCAGGGAGGCCTCAGCGTGGGGCTCCGGCTCCTCCTTCTGCCAGGTGGGAAGAGGAGCCAAAGGTCCAGCTGGCAGATGTGCCGCTCGCCGGGAAAACACTTCCCTCCCATCCCTCCCCGCTTCCCAAAGCTTGGGTTTGTTTGGGAGAAGTTTTTAACAACAGAGCTTGGAGAATTTTTGAACGGCAGCAGATCAACAAAGGCCGGGCAGGACTCCCATGGGATGAGGGTGAGGGCAGTTTTTGGGAACGCCGGGTGTCAGCACCCCCGGGGCTGTGGATCCTGCCTCGCTCCGAGGAAGCTCCTTCTGGATTGCTATCACAGCATCCCTCTGGCTGCAGCTTGAAGAGCCTTTGGAAGATGAATCAGAGCTTTGTTTTGAGTCTCCAGAGAAGTTAAATCAGAGCTACTTGGATCGAGGAGAGGCGGGAATGAAAGGGGAGAAAAATGCGAAGTAAAAATATCTGAGCGTGTGTCACCGAGGGCAGGGCCGGAACAATCCCTGGCTGACATTTCTGCTGCACACAAAATTCATACATTTTCTTCAGTTTTTCTTTTTTTTTTTTTTTCATTGCTGGTGCAAATATGATGAAAAGCAGCTTTCCAGGGAAACCTGGAAACTGCCAGCTCTGCTGTAAGTTTTAGAATCTCTTCGTGTTGCACTTGTCTGGTGCCATATGTGTGGAAATCTGCCTGAGAACCAGCGTGCATATTTAATCTGAGCCGTGGTTTTGTTTAGGTCTCTCTCCTATATTTAGGATAATCTGAGAGAGGTGGCTGTTTGGAGCTATCACTGAAAAAGAAAAAAAGATGGAAAACAGGGAGCACTTTTACAGTAGTTATTGGTGCCATGGGAAAAGAAGGATGTCTTTTTTAGGGCCATACTTGGAGTCAGTAGTTTTGGCTGGGTTAGGGTGGTTGTTAAAGAGCCCTGGTCACCACTGAATTGTGGTTAATGGTGAGATCCCTCAATAGACCTGGAGTGACGTTGGCCAGGGTGGTTTTTGGACCTGCTGTCACTGGCCCTGTGCCCAGAGAAATAAATTATATTGCTAACAGCAGCCTCAGAAGAGCCAGAGCCGCCTTCCGGAACATCACTGGGAATATCGGTGGCATGGGCACGGGATAACAGGTCCTCCCTGGAAAAACCCTTCTGAAGGAGCCACTTTTATTGCAAAGAAGAGCCATAACAACTCCCAGCTGTGAAACAGTGGTGTGTTATATTAACAAGGCCCATTTTAATTAAGGATTTATTCCTAGGAAGCATTGCTTTTCATTGCCTCAACAGCCTGTTGTGCCTAAGCTCGTGGTAAGTGCTGATAAATCAGCTCACTGCTGCTGTGGGCAGGGTTGTGCTGGATTCAGAATGCAGCAATGGGAAATGGGAGACAACCTGGAATCCACACTGGTGATCACTGAGCTGCCAGGGAAGGAAGGGAACTGAGGGGTGAATTGGAACACAGACTGTATCCCTCGGGACTCACTGACCTGCACCACCTTCACCACTCACAGAGCACCAGAATTCTGAGGTCAGGCACCTTGGCAAAATGAGCCAGAACAAGAGATGTCCTCGAGCTCATTGCCACTGGTCTTTGCTGGTAAAATCCCCCAATCCTCTGGTTGCCACCTCTGTAAGGCCCATCCTGTCCCTGGATGCACCACCAGGGGTCTGGGGGGATTCTCCTCACTCCCTGTAAAAACTTCCCGTTTTCAGCTGTTTTTTCACCTGGTGGTATTGTTTTCAAATCTTAGCCCTCTAGAGGTAACTCCCCCCACTTGTTGCTGAAATGTCACTATGGACAGGCATCATATTTTTCAGAATATTGCTGGGAACTTCTGCTCTCCACAGGGGCTGCAAGGGCTGGCACCAACAGCAGCACCACCAAATCTTCCCCCGACACCCTGGTGAGTGTTGTCACCCTGCAAGGAGCAATCTGCAGCTCCCTCCCTCTCTGTTATTCCTTTGTAACTTGGCAAAAGTAGCCTCTGGAAAACCAGACCACACACATGGAGTCCCCCAGGCGTTGGGATTTGCTGCTGGCTCGGTGTGTCCCAGTTTAAAGCATTCCCTAATTAACTGATTGGATCTTCCACTGGCAGCTTTCCCCCCTCCCCTCCCTCTCAAGTACAGCAGGGGCTGTGCAGACAAAGTGCTTCATCAAACACAGAGCCAGGCAAAGCACTGGGATTATTAACTGTTCACTGACACATTTCTGTCTCTGGATGCGTATCTTTATATAAGCTATTCACAGGCAGGCAGGAGAAGGCACTGGAATTGCTCTTTATGGAGGTGGGACCTGCAGATAAACCTGCATGGAATGCTTGTATTTGCAAGCACAAGCACGTGCCCCCCACTGCCAAAAGGCCAGGGGGTCCAGGTGTTTCTTCCAGCTCCCATTTCCTAAAATCCCTCCTTGGAGCCCAGGGACAGCCAGGACAGGGAGCCCCTCCTCACCCCCAGCAGCAGGAGGTGGGGAAATGCAGCCAAACCCTTCTGCACAGACACAAGCAGATGAAATTTGGGCTGCTGAAGTCCCCACAGTATGCAGGGAACAGACACTAAATGCTGAATAAAAAGGAATATTTAGCTTTTATGCAGAGCTCTCGGCAAGGACCTCTGAAAACACGCGTGGTCAAACTCAGAGAACTCCCCAAACGGGGCAGGGAAAGCCCCTAAACCACCCTGACACGTGGAGTGGGAATGGGGATGGAATTCTGAGCACTGAGCCCTGGAAAACCTACCCTGTGGCACCAAGCACTGGCACTGGAATAAGGATGTATGAAAACGTGGGCGAGACTGTCCCAACCCTCTCATCAGCTGGCAAGAAACCAGCAACACCAACATTCCATTCCCACAGGGAACACATTCCCAGGGAGGTGGTGGAGGCAGCTGCAGCAGGACTGCACTGCACAGCCTGACTGAGAAACAAGAGATGTTTGTGAGGAGAGAAAAGGTAGGACGTGAGCGTTTCCAGGCTGCAGTAATTCAGGATTTTACAGCTTATGATTTGTTGGGGGGAAAAAAAAAAAGGGGGAAGATGGAAATCCCCCTACATTTTCAGTTTGGTGCTGTATCAGAAGAGGAGATCAGCAAAGCTCAGGTGTTTTATTCAAGGAGGGGCTCTTGCTTTAATTCACAGTGAAGGTGAAATTGGGGTGACTTGTTTTACTATTCAAGTTACCCTTTTTTTCTTTTTTTAAAATACACAGAAGCCTGAACTGGATGTCTGTGATTTTGCCCATTTTTTTTGCATTTCTATACAGTGTCACTGAATTCCATTGGTAATTCAATTTGAGCTTCATTTCCCTAATGTTATTGCTGTAGTTACACCAGATAGTGCATTTCGAGTTTGGTTTTATTTAGAACAAGTCATCAATTTTCCCTCCCTGGTTTATTTTTACCGACTCCCATGGTAAATGCTTAGAGGTGCAGCAAACCAGAATTTTGCTGTGCATGCCAATTAACACTCAGCTGCTCCATTTTAAAGAAGTTGAGATGTTTTTCCGTCAATTTGACTGCGATTCATGAAACTGCTGAAGTGACTGATCACTGCTATCCCAAATTTGCATTTATGCTGTTGGAACCCCTAAAGCTGGATAAAACACCTACAGATACACCAATATTTGCAAATAAAACACCCAGGACCCATTCCCTGACCATGAGTAAAAGTGGGATGTGTGTGAGACTCTTCCCCATCGTCAGGGTGGTCTCACCTGCCACTCAACTTCTCTGCCTTGGCCACCAAGGCTTAACAAACCCTCAGCCCAACTTATCTCCTGGGTCTCCTTATTGTTATTCCAGCCAGGAGTAAAAACTTCTGCTCATTTCCCACACAAACCTCCCCTTTGTCATCCTATTTTTGAACAGCAGCCACTGGAGGTGGAACCTGAAGGTGCCTTGGAGCTCCCCTCTGGCTGTGGGACACAGGAGGAATGTCCCAAGGTCAGGAGGAGAGAGGAGTCATTAAAAATGGGCAGTCAAATGGAAATACAGATCATTTCTGGGTCTCATTTGTGTTCCTGGTGGTCTGCATGGTCCTCTGGGAGGGGCTGGAGCCATGTGGGTGCTGCACCAGCTGACAGAGCGTGGCCCTGGTCCCTCCTGGGGCATCTGAGCACGACAGGAACACAGGGATTCCCTAAAATCCTCACAGAATCACACAGCATTCTGCAGAGGAGAAAGGATTTGTAAGCATCTGTCAATAAAACAGAGCACTCGGTGCGTGCCTTTATTTTGGCATCCTTTGTGTGACTCCACTCTGAGTAAGTTTTCCTGTTGTACTGGATAATTATAAAGATCTCTAAAAGAACCTCAGAGCTGTTAAAACCCACTTGAGGTACAAGAAACCCTTCCCACAGCATTTTTTTCTCTCTTGCCCTTTGGAAATCTCCTGTGCCCTGTTAAACGATGTGAGCAAACCAATGGCCAAAAACACAGACATTTCTGTGCTTTTCTAGAAACCTTGGAAATATCACCACTATTATTTCCAGACCATTTAGTTTCCTATGCAGGACCCCAGGCATGTGAAGTATGCTCATGCAGAAAGCAATTCATTCCTTTGGCAAATGTTTCTTTTCTTTCCAGACCCCGTTTTCCTTCATTAGAAGCCACTGCTGTTTAGTGCAGTTTTCACCTCACGCTGCAGGAAAAACACGTTTGGATAAATACTCCATCCTTAGCTTTTCATGCCTTTGAGAGAAACAGCAAACCAGCAAAACTTCTACCCACCACTCAGCTCAAATGGTTTCAGGAGCTGCAGTGCAGGATTTTTGTGGATTGCCAGCGATGCCCAGCTCAGCTTTGTGGTGCTGCCGGACCCACGAACGCAGCGGCTCCTGCAGCAAAACGTTCCCGAGAGCGAAGTTAGTCCTTACCCAGCCAGATGGAGTTGTGCAGCACCCCATCCTTGAAGCCCCACGCTCCAGCCTCGTCCCACAGCAGGGCAGAGAAGAGGATCAGGGCAATCATCTCCTGGGCAGGCTCAGGCTGTAAATACTCCCCGGTCGAACGCTCCGGGCCGGCTCTGGCTCGGTGCTCCTGGAACATCTGCGAGCCAGACCTTAAATAGCACGTTGAGCTGTGAGGTCAGTGGGGCTGCTCCAATTGTGCTGCTGCAGTTCTTACACAATGAACTGTGGTGTCTGCAGTCGCCCATGTGACTCACTTTTGGCTCTCTCCGTTCCCAGCCTGTCCAAGAATCCATTCTATCCCTCACTACTGCAGCACACACGGCCGCTCTCCGAGCCAAAGGCTCTTCATTCTTCGGCGCTCGCTGCCTTCTGATTCCATAAAATAAAACTCAGAGCCAGTCCATCTCTGCTCCCAGTCACACCACTCACAGCACCTGAGAGATCACACTCTGTCTCATTCCCCTTTAAACATTCTGCCCTTCTGTAAATAATTTGGATTTAATTTCACCCAATCAATGGAAAAACGTCAGGAGAAGGTTTTACACTGACTGTTTGAGTTCAGCTTCCCCACACGGAATCTGTCACTGCAAATCAACCTCCCGGCTCAGCACAAAGCTGCAAGTGTCAAAAACAGATGCTCTTTGCTCTGCAAAGTGGGAAATAAAGCTCAAAACTTCCCCTCCAAACCACAGTTGAAAGGCTGAATCACAGCGTGACAGCTGTCTGCTCGTCTTCCCTTCTGGCTGCGAGTGAACCCCGCAGCTGCTCCTCGTGGGTGAGCGGGAGAGAGGAGAGGGGGAAGGATGAGAGTATGGAAAAGGAGCTGGTGCTCCACACTCCTGAGCAGCCCTTGGAAAACTCTGCAGTTGTGATAACATCGGTAACTTCTGAGTCAGGAGCTACGGACAGAGACAGGACAATGATCACACCAACAATCAGACTACAAGAGGAGGAGAGGAAGGGGTGGGGATGGCTGGGCCCACTCAAAAATGTTTTAACACAGATGACTTGAGGTGAGGAAGATTCTTCCTCACTCCAGGCTTAGAGTGAGGGAAGCCTGGCTACACTGTACACACACTCACACATGTTCCTCCCACCTGAACTCAGACAGATGCTGAAGGGAAAGGCTGTTGGGAAACAGAGCTGAGGGAATGAAAAGGCACCTTCCACCAATTTACCGGTGTCTAGGCCTGTCCCTCTCCAGCTCTCACTGGTGGGAGCAGATCTGCTCTTGCAGTGAGGTTCCCCTACGTGCACACAGTGGGGTCAGCTGGTCCAACCTCACAGAGGATGCTGGGACAGGGACTGATCCAGGGACTGATCCAGGGATTGATCCAGGGACTGATCCAGGGACTGATTCAGGGATTGATCCAGGGACTGATCCAGGGACTGATCCAGGGACTGATTCAGGGATTGATCCAGGGACTGATCCAGGCACTGCCAGTTTGTTGGGAGACATTCATGGCGTCCTCTGGAAACCTGGAAACAATAAAAGAGGCAGGAGGGGAAGGGATGGAAACCAAGGGAAAGGGAAAATTCAACAGTAACATAATTTACTGGTAATCTGAAAAGATAAATTCCTGGTTCAGATGGAGGGAGAGAAGCGTGATGTGATGTCTGTCCTTGCACAGGACACCTTTCCTCTGTGCCACTCCATGAGAATCCCCCTGGCTGGGATGGTATTGGGAGTTGGTATTAATGGTCTATCCATGCCACAGGAATTGCTCTGTCCTTGGGAGGTGGGTGCCAGTGCACAGGATCCCAGAAATGTGTGAACACTGAGCTATTTCTAAGAGCAAGGAGTGCAAACCATGGAGATGATTTGTCACGGACTGACTCAGTGAAATCATTAAGAAAGATGCTCATGCAATAGTAAATAAAAAATACCATTTACTGAAGTGAACTGTTAATGGGGAAAGGCCTCAGCTGGAAAAAGCAACTTAATAAATAAAGGGCATAAAGCAGCAAACAGTGTTTGAGAGCAGCTCCTCATCTGTGCAAGGTCTGATGTTTGGGTGAATACAGAATCCAGGGGAGCCGGGGGGGTCGGGCTCTGCTCCCAGGGAACAGGGACAGGAGGAGAGGGAACGGCCTCAGGCTGTGCCAGGGGAGGGGCAGGTGGGACATCAGCAGGAATTTCTCCTGGAAAGGGTGGTCAGGCCCTGGCACAGCTGCCCAGGGAGGTTTGGAGTGCCCAGCCCTGGAGGTGCCCAAGGCAGGCCTGGCCGTGGCACTCAGTGCTCTGGGCTGGGGACAAGGTGGGGATGGGCACAGGGGGATCCATGGGCTGGGAGGGCTTTTCCAACCTCAGGGATTCCTGGGATTCTACCAAAAGCTCTGCAGGGTTCAGTAACTGTTTTAGAGTGAGGAGGAACTGTTTTGCAGTGCCAGTGAAGTGGCACCTCCAGACCTGCCCTGCACATCTGCCCCTCCAGTGAGCTGGAAAGTTCTCACCTGCAAATCCCAGCAGAGCCTCCGACCACCAGGATATTCCACAGCTGGCCACAGGCACTTGGAGACATCTGGCTGACATTCTTTAGCTTTCTTCCAAGTTTTCCACATTTAAATACGTACCAGACAAATCTTATATAAATTGAAGGGGAAGGGGGCTTTTCTTAACTCTTCCTGAACTCTTTCCTTAACTCTTCTCTTGTTTCTTCTTTTTTCTTCAGCAAAGCACCAGGTTTTTTAGTGCCTCTTTGTAGCAGGAAAATTATGTTACAACTCCAATTGTACCTTTAGGTCTCTCCTTGAAAATCAACGTGTTCTTTCCATCTTTCCTGTAGGTTGTATTTTCTAGACCCCTGACTATTCCTGATCCTCTCCCTGTTGTCTTCCCAGGTGTCCTCCATCCTTCTGCAAGTGCCAACAAAAGGCTCCACTGTGACAACACAGAGGTGAGTCATTTATTTTCCACGGGGTGTTTTGGTTCCTGTGATCTCCTGGTTTGACCTTTGCCCCTGGTGAAATTCCCTGGAAAAACAAGAAGTCGAGATTTTAAAATAACACTTTTTTTTTTTTTCTTTAAATTACGTGGACAAGAAGGTGGTTTAAGGAGGAAAATGCATCCAAAGTGGGATTTGGCAGGTCTAACCTGATTATATTCACCTGCTTTTCCAATCTCTCTTTCCTTGGATGCCTCTGCCCCAGTGAAAGCCAAAAAGTGACACAGAAATGGTGTTTTTGGGGGGGAAAGAGTTGATGGAATTCTTACATTTGTGATTTGGACTGGTGAAAAACTCCCTGCTCATAAACTCACAAACCAGGATCTCGACGTTGTTCACACGTTTGTTGTAGTTAAGGCAAGACAGAAGGAATTTCTAATGAAATCTCCCAACTTTTTCTGTCCCCCATGAACTTCAGATGATGCAATCTGATGAAGAATTTGATAACGTGAGGACTCCTTGGCCGATGATCTGAGCATTTACGGTCCCAGTGGCGACTTCATCTTCCAGACAGGATTTTGCCTTACAAATAAATATTTTCCAATCTCCCCTCCTTTGTCTTAAAGTCTCCTTTGTCTTGAAATCAATGCCCATTTTTATCAGCAGCATCAATGAGGCAAGACTCAGCTTCTCTGGGTGATGGTGCTGGAGTTTAAAAATAAAAAAAAAAAGCAAACAAACCCCTCCATGTGAGAGGAGAACAAAACCAAAAACATTGGGGAATATTAAGAGCAGATGTTGGGAGAGAATAATGGATTCTCTTATAAAAATTCTGACCATTTGCCAAGTCGAAGTGTTTGAAGTCCTCTATAGTGAGAGTTATTCTAAATAAAAGAGTTGAACCAATCAAAAATTTAAAAAAATACAGGTATAACAAAATTAACAAGTGTCTCAGGGAAGAGACACTTTAAATTACATTTTTAAACTGCAGAAATATATTCCCAAAAGCACGAGATGCTATAAACAGAGTTTTCAGATGTGAGACTGAGGCATGGGTAATGTGGGAGGGGGGTGCCAAGACAAACAGGCTCCAGAGAGTGCCAGGAAACTCCTCAAAAATAAAAACCAAGAGTTGCAACTCCATCCACTGCAGAGCCAACTGCAACAATGTGGAGGGGCTTGGGGAAATATTAATATTAAAGATGTTATTAATAAAACCTTATTGCTAAAATATTGTTCATATTAATAGGAAATAGTGGAGATAATTATTTGTTCATCCACTGCAGGGGATCGTTATTTCTGAGGAAGGAATAAATGTCCTTTCCCTCTGATTTAAGCTGTTTATGTGGCTGGTGAGTTCTGTGGCTCTGTGGGGCTGATCCCTGTCCTGGCAACGCTTAAAATGCATCCACTGGACACAATGAATGAATTACTGGATAAAGGAGTGCAGTAAAATTCAAATTACTCCCATTTTCAGTGAGGTGCAGCAAAACTGACAGTATTGCCTACAAAGTAAACACTTTTCTATTTTAATAGAAAACATTATATAAGTGTAAAATATTATCTATAAATATACAATAATAAATTATATAAATGTTATAATTGAAATTATAAAGTAACTAAGAATTTATAAGGGTCTTAATCTCCTACATTTATCATATTTCACTGGCAGAAAACAAATAAATCATTATCTAACTCCAAGCATCTCATTTAAGGGTGTGAATGAAGAGCTTTTCCATTAAATGAGCCTCCAAAGGGCATTCCCACATCCTGAATATCCCATTAGTTTTTCCCTGGTTCACCTAAAAACCCTTTTACTTGTCCATCTCAGAACATCACAGACTTTAAAAACCACTTTCCTCCCTTCAGCTGGGCATGGGCAGGGGGTGAGCTTTCAGAAAACACTCTGAGTTTGTGCAGAAATAATTGGGATAATCTGGCCAGGCCCACGGACACTTTGGGAAAACTGGCCTTACCAAACCTCATGAAATGTTCTGTGCTCCTGATGTGCTGGTTCTGATCGATGTTCCTGGTAGATGCACTAGAAAATGTTGTGTGCTGTGTCAGATTTTGTAATGGAATACAGGGATCTCCCACAGGGATATGCTGTGGAATCCCAAATATTCCCTTATCCCTCTGGACACTGGGGTGTGGTGGTGGAATCTGCCCTTGGTCATACAGTCACCTCAGCTCCCACAAAACCAACCCCACACACTCATCTGCTTTCCAGTAATACTCT